ACATGATTGTACAAAGTCTTTGACTGACTTCCACATTTGTGGCCACCAAAAATCTCTTGATATGAGTTCCAAAGTCTTATTATATCCAAAGTGCCCTGCTGCTGGAAAGTCATGACGTGCTTGAAGAACACGTAAACGTGCTTCTCCTTCTGGACATATAGGCGTCCTTCAAAATATAATAGATTATTCTTGAACTCGAACTTAGAAGGATCATGAGACTTGGAAGAATTATTCTCGATATCATAAACAAGAGGGTCTGAGGACATACTGGACTGGATTTGCTTGAGAAAAGTTGAATCAACAGTCAATGTTAATTTCATTGCTCGGAGATGAAATTGCTCCGGTTTCAAGAGGACCATTCTTTGTTGCTCAAAAGCTACATCTCCTTCTTTTGGTGCAAAATAAGAACGTCTAGATAGGACATCAGACAAACCTTGTTGTTTTCCTGGCCGATAAGTGATAATGAACTCGAATCTTGACAAAGACATACTCCAACGAGCTTGACGATGATTCAACATGCGTGCTGACATGAAATACTCGAGGTTCTTGTGATCTGTATACACAGTGACTGGACTAGAAGCGCCTTCTAGATAATGACGCCATTCTTGAAAGGAATCCACGATCGCAAGAAGTTCTTTATCGTGGATCTCATAATTGATCTCGGCTGCTGAGAATTTTCTTGAATGAAAAGCTATCGGATGAAGTTTGTCATCTGTTCCCATTTGTGATAAAATTGCACCCAAGGCAAAATCTGATGCATCTGTTTCCATAAAAAATGCCTTGGAAAAATCAACACGATATAAGACTGGTGCAGAGACAAATGATATCTTCAAGGCTTCAAATGCTGCTTCCGCTTCTTGATTCCATTGGAATTTATCTTTACTAGTCAAGCGTGTAAGTGGAGCTGCAACTCGTGAGAAATCTTTGATAAAGATCCGATAGTAATTGGTAAATCCCAAGAAACATTGGACATCTCTCACTGTCCTTGGAATCTTCCAATCCATGATTGTTTGGACTTTCTTAGAATCCATCATGACACCATCATTTGAAATGATGTATCCTAAAAAGTCAACTTGAGTAGTGTGAAATACACACTTTTCCATCTTGGCGTACAATCCTGCATCTCTAAGTTTTTGTAATACTTGACGAACATGTATTTCATGTTCTTCGACGTTCTTAGAATAGATCAGGATATCGTCTAGATAGCAGACGACAAAATTGTCTAAGAATTCACGAAATACATCATTCATGAGATGTTGAAAAGTAGCTGGTGCATTCGTGAGTCCAAAGGGCATGACATTATATTCAAAATGTCCATACCTGGTTCGAAATGCAGTCTTCCATTCATCTCCTTCTTTGATCCGTACTAGATTATATGCTCCTCTTAGATCTATTTTTGTATAGATCTTAGCTTGATTCAACTGGTCAAGGAGTCCTGATATCAAAAGTAATGGATACCTGTTCTTGATTGTGATCTTGTTGAGTCCTCGATAATCAACACACATTTGTAAAGATCCATCTTTTTTCTTTACGAATAGAATTGGAGCTCCTGCTGGAGATTTTGAATGGCGTATGAAATTCTTCGCTAAATTCTCGTCAATATATGTCTTGAGTTCAACCATCTCATCTTGCGATAAACTGTAAATTGGTCCAAATGGTGGCTGAGTTCCTTCCTTGAGGTCGATTGAACAATCATATGGGCGATGCTCAGGAAGAATATCTGCATTCTTTTTCTCAAAAACGTCTTGATACTCTTGATATTGACTTGGAATGCCAATTGAAGTCTTTACGTTTTCAGAAATAGGTGCAGCATAAATAGCAAAAGTTGATCCTTCTTTTGCTGCGTGTATAAATACTTTTGCACCTATCAGTACGGGTTTTACTATACTAGACTTATAATTTTTTACTTGGTTGGTAGAACTATTAATAATGCTTTGGAAAAAGTCAAGTTTACGCAAATTCCAATCTATTCGAGGGTTATATTTTTCTAGCTAGGATAAACCTAAAATAACTGGATTGGACGGGGATTTAATTATGTTAAAAGCTATGTAGCTATCATGACCGTCTATTGTTACTTTTATAGGATGAGTTTCATGAGTGACATCTCCAAAAGACAAGGGACGACCATCTATGACTTCTACATGTACTGGTTTAGGTTTCTGTACAAAGGGTATTTTACGACTTTTAACAAATTGTTCATCTAAAAAACATGCTGAGGCTCCCGAATCTAATAAAACAGAGGCTTTGTAATTCTTAGGTCCTAAATATAAGTCTATTATAAAACAAGGAGAGGGTTCTGAGGAGAGGATAGGACCTTCATTAGGAATTGTACAAGGTTCCAACTGCACGGTCCCTATTGTAGCTGGACAAATCCGTTTTCCGACATGTTGTCTTCTTTGACCGTCGTACCCCTCATTTTATAGTTGCGTCGTTTCTTTGGACAATGTTGAGCAGTGTGCTTAGGTTCTCCGCAATATAAACATAATCCTTCTTGACGACGACAAATCTTTTCTTGCTCAGTTAGGGGTTTAAAACGTACCGCGTCAATTTGCATGTCTTCTACTTCTGAATGTACGTTTGGCAAAGATGTTGATGTTGCCATTGAGTAATAACGTTGAGGTTCCCATGAATGATTCTCGGATCGAAATTCAAAAAGTCGATTATCACATTTTACCGCAAAATCGATTGCTTGACTCAAAGTTTGAGGATCAGGTAAGTTGAGCATCAATTTCTTTACTTCGTATTGCAATCCATAAAGAAATTGACTGATGAGTGCAGCATCATCCCACTTGATGTCAATTGCAAGTTGTCGAAATTGTGAAGCATATACTGTTACTGAGCGATTTTCTTGTCGCAGAATTCGGATCTTATTTGTTGCAACACGAGTTGCATCGTGTTCACCATACATAGATCGAAACTCCGCCAAAAAAGCTTCCAAATTGTCCAATATTGGATTTCGTTGTTCAAGAAAAGACGAAAACCACGATAATGTAGAACCAGAAAGTAGAGTGCCAATAAACCTGACTTATGATCCTAGAGTTGGATAGCTTTGCGGTTGAAGTTCAATTGCCAATTGTACTTGATTGATGAACCCTCAAAACTTTGATCTCGTACCATCAAATTTCTCAGGTAAGGCAATTCTTGGTTCTCTAGTGCTTATAGGGTGTTGTACAATTGGAGAAGGAATGTGATTTGTTGTAGATGTTGAAGCAGCTCCGATCATCTCTATATCTCCACTTTCTGCTATTCTTGTTCTTTCCTGTCTTGGTGAATTGAATTGATGCATCGCAAGCATTAACTCCCTCATTTGCTCTTGCATTTGTGCCATTGCACTCTTCATTTCAACAAGCTCTGCCATAATGACACTAAGAAGAAAAATTTGTTTGATATTGCTCAAGACAAAAGAAAAGAAAGACTTGATAACAAAGAAGATACTAAGAACAATATCAGTTTAGAAGTGGGTAATCCGCAAACTTCTAATACGCTTATGTCTTGTCAAGAGAAAGGGGTAATCCACTCTTACTCAAGAAAAAATAAAGCTCTAATATTGTAAGTGTACTCTTGTCAATCTGTCAAGGACAAAGACTCGATGAGGGAAAATATACACCAAAAGGCTATCTCGATATAATAAGTCAAAATATAAACAAGTAGGTATATTAAAAGGAAACTGGAATGGCTATTGCCACAAGACAAGAAACTAAAGACTCTTGAACCTGGACTAGAAGCAAGAAAGGAGTTGACAAGAGTGAAGAAGCCTTCACTCTTGTCTCTATATATACTATCTAACTAGGGGCTACATGGCGACGTTCTATAGGACCTCCAATATGTGTTGACTTTGTAGGACACATGCCTTGACTTACAAGGCAAGTTTTTCTACGTGTGGGCCACATAGTTAGCTTGATCTTCAAGCTAACAACATGTGTGGTATATGGCCAACTTGTTGATCACGTTTCTAATCCAAAAAGTCAATTAAAGACACCTATGAAGTCAAAGCAGCGTCTAGGAAGTTTCTATATTAAATATTATAGAATTAACTTACTTTTATCTACTTTTATATGTAATTATTAGCTTACATGATTATGGCTGTGACAGTTCTTGATTTTTTTTGTTTTTTGTTTGAGTTTTTTGCAACTAAAACCACTAAATTTCAACTTGATTTGAAAGTTTAATGTTTGAAAACTTGATTTTATGATTACCCAAAATCAAAAATTACCAAAAATTTCAATCTTTCAAAACCTTTCAATCTTTCACAATCTTGCAAAAATTGCAATCTCACCTCAAATTTCTTGAACAATCTCCACAACTTGAACTTTGTAACTCCAACTCCAACTCCAACTTTGTATTCAAACCTCCAAGATCACATCAACCAACTCCAACTCCAACTTTGTATTCAAACCTCCAAGATCACATCAACCAACTCCAACTCCAACTTCACAACTTACAACTTCCAACTTACAACTCACAATTTACAACTCAATCTTGAAGTGCACGATCCAAAAAATGTTTTGAACATCAAATTTGTAATCAAGAGCTTCAAAATTGTAATCAAGAGTTTCAAATTTGTTTTGGGTAAGCTCAAATTGTAACACACACTTTGGATTGCACACACCCACAAACTCAACGTTCAAATTTCAAAACCGCGCAGTAATAAACGGAGCAGTCAACCGCGCAGTCAACAAAAGTAAAAGTAAAAGTAAAAGTCACAGCCACAGTAAAAGTAAAAGTCATAGTAAATGTAAAAGTAAAAGTCATAGTAAAGGTAAAAGTAAAAAGTCACAGTAAAAGGAAAAGGAAAAGGAAAAGTATAGTTGACTTTTGATAGGGCTTATGATTCTACTATATTTATGAATCTTGTTCAATTGTACTGTTGTTCATTGCAAAAGCAATAGCATATGGTGAGCTATGGTTGAGCAAGGATTTCACTGAATTAATGATCGACAGTTCAATGTTCAACAAAATATGCTTCAAGTTCATAGTGAGCTTGTGTGAAGGCATGGAAGGAAGATGCAAATGTGGAGAGAATTCCAGTATCAGCTTTCTTAAACGTGTTGAGAGGGTTCATGCATAGGTATCTACGTGTAGATAATCATCCCAAAGATGAACTGGTCAATCTTTACCTGACCCTAGCTACACTGGTGAGATGGCCTACAGACATAGTGTCAGAAGACGTCGTGAACAGCTGCTTCCCCCTAAACTTGTTGCTCGAACATTCGTATGCAACATTCATGCTTCTTGCTGAGGTAACTGCTGCAACATGTATAGTGAGGTGAAATAGCAGGTGCAACAAATGGATGTTATTTGATGAGATTGATCAACACTTTGTTTGCTCATCTATAGATAGACCTCTAACATGAATAGGACTAGTTACTGTGCCATCGATGAAGACCTGACATAATCTGATTCTGAGATGTGTTTTATTTTATTCAGGAGTTCGCGTAGTTTTCGTAAAATCATACTAATTCAATGGAATTGGGTTATACCACCCTCGCAGATGAATCAAAGTGGTGACTGGAAGAATACAGGTCTAAGCAGCGGATGGATCCAACAATAATTGTTTAACACTGTTGAGGAAATTATGTTCGAAGATAAGCTTTGTTCTGCAGTGGTGTAAGTGGCTTAACTCTTAATGGATTGAATTGCATTTAATTCAGTGCAGCATACAGAATTTTAGCTTCTTCAGTACTTGATCAATTGGTAGCAGACCAAAGTTATGACCTCGCGGTAGCTAATCCTTCTGAAGCTTCAGTCCAGGATGACCTGGAATTTTTTTGCCTGAAATAGTCAAATTAAGAGAACCATTGGAGTATATTGATCGACGGAAGTTTACAGATTTCAAGATTTTTCAAATCAAAGTCATGTCTTAACTGAGAAGAAAATTCGATCAAATACAGACCTGGAGATATTTGTTTTGTCGTGTCTGTCACCGTAAGAAGTACTCAAACCACCGCTTCACTACATTGGTTACAATGAACAAAACACAATAAGAGTAAGGATTAGACAAATAATTTCACAGGAATGAGCGAAAAAACTCTGAATCAATGGGGTGAAGAACACAATGACAAAAATCGGACAAACAGATTCCCTGAGATCCTCATATTGCAAGTGCAACAAGAAACTTCTAACTCCAAATGGTGGTAAGATGTGCCAACCTTCTTTTCCTTTGTAGAACTTAACGGAAGTTTTGGCTGCAAACGCTTCACGAGTCGAGGATGACACATTTTTATGTGATCGTCTAAGAGCTGACGATGATGTCGGTGGCCACCGTTGTATTCTCTCTCATTCACTGTGCGAAAAGGGTTTCCACAACCCAAGGAAGGCTTATTTTTGCAGTCACAGTCACCGATCTTTGGGGAACCCGCAAAATACCGTCCGGAGTCGTATGGTGCACCTTCAGCTCAATACAAAACAGAATTCAAAATCAAGGAGAATAAACGGGTGGATCGATCTTGATAAATTAGTCATCAGTACAAATAGGTTACCTGGAAATAGGAACAATTAACAGCCTCCAAGATTGAGTTGCTACTTTTTAGGAGCTATGTGAAGAGTTTAATTCTACCACCTGCACTGCGTAATCGCGGAACTTTTGCACCTGAAACTCTGGCCAGCTCCAAGCACGCTCTTGTATCATACAGCTCATTTGCAAGAGCACACAGCTTTTCGGCACATCTTTGGTGAATATAATTCTCCTTGTGCACCTGCCAGAAGAACATGCCAAAAAATAATGACTGCAACTTGAAGATTTAAGATGATTGTCCTTAACTTTGAGGGATTTATATTTCGGTGAGTGGTAAAAGTTTTTATAAATACATAAGAAATGTTATCATGTAGGGACCCCTTTCATAATTTCGGAAGTTTTAGGAAGAGATTTCAACCGACCTCCTTGCCAACTTGTGACCAATGGTTCCCGTATGCCTCACTAGAAGTTTTCCACCGCCATGAGTGGTCTGCCGCTTCACAATGCATGACTGAATAAATCTACGACGAAAATGGAGAGTAAAATCAGAAAGAGTCATTGGAGACCGTATTAAATGGAGATTAATTGGTTCTAGAGCTGTCCCTACATCTATAAACGAATTCTCAGGATACGGTTATACATCAAAATTTCTTAGTTACTTAGATTCTAGAGTTCAGAACAATTGATTCGTAACACATTGTTGTTCTTCATAGAATGCAGACCATTCATCAATTATAAGAGTTCTTCAAACTCACAGTATCGCACTACAGAAGCGACCGCCATAATGTGTAAGAAAGATAAAGATGCACTAAGATAACTTCAACGACTTCAAACAATAGAGCTAAGGACGAACAAAGGAAATCTTTCAAGGTTGAAAGAAACATCAACATAATTACGAGGCAGGACTGGCAAGCAAAAAACGAGGCGTAAAAAAATTATAGCAGAATTACCTGATCAATTCAGACAGGGGATTTGAGACTTAGGGGATGCTTAGACAGACAACGTTGTTGATGAGAATCGAGCAAGATTGCTGCACCAGCGTGGAGGGTGTGGAATTGAGAGACCTAAGGAATTGAATCTGTGTGACCTTTCACCTGAAAACATCCTCCTCAAGTTCTCAATGAACGGTTGCAACTATGTGTCTTATGACGAACCAGATCTCAATATATTTGTTAAACATTCGCAAAATAAGGTGAGCAGCAATTAACACAGAGAGAGAAGAGAAGAGACTGTAAGATTGGACATATCAAAACTATCATGTCGCCAATTCTACCAACGTGCATATGGCAGGGAAAGTGCAGCAGGCACCTCGATCAACCTTCACCGAATCACCTCGGAACCAAGCTCCGAGTGGCACCGACAAGTCCCAGGAAAAATCTCCAAATTGTATCTAAGCATAAAGTAGATTTTAAGTTCTTGTGTACCATTAGTTATATATATATATATACATACACGCACATTTTAAATTTTTGATAATCTATTAACATGAAATATATATATATATATATATATAGATAGATAGATAGATAAATAGATTATATATGTACAATAGAAACTTATGTATTTTATAAAACATGTGTATTTATTTAAGGTGTTATACATGTGAGAAAATTCTATAGCTTTTTAGTTTTCTAAATATTTACTCAATAAGATTGAAACAATTGGTTTTATTGTACATTAGTATAAAATTAATTATAAATCATTATATTAATACACTAACAAAAACTAAGAATATTTTTATAAACATACATTTATTTTTATTTTTTGTATTCAATACAAAAATTTAATATATATGATTTTATTTTAAATTTGAATCAATACATCATTAAATAAAATATATCTTGTTTATCAATTTAAATTTGTTCTTATCTAATATATATATATATATATATATATATATATATATGTTTTCATTTACATTTTCACATATTACCAATAGATTTTGATTTTTGTTAAATAAAGATGAGAACCACAAAAGATAATAATAAGTACTATTATTTTATAAAATAAATACATCACTTTATAAAAATCAAAATCAAAATTTTTTTTTTACATAAGAAAATTATCATTTCTCAATGCAAGTATTAAAATTAATTATGGTCTTATTTTAATTTATAATACTTTCATAGAATCCTTTTGTGACTAACATATTATAGTTGATTGGAATTTTTAAATATTTTTGCTTCTATATATACTAGCTAATAAGAAGATAATGTAATTTTTTTTTGCAAATTGTAAAACTTGCATGCTAAGTATTTAGATTATAAGATACTTTTATAGGAATCCTTTAGATATAATAAACTTTAAAGAGAAGTTAATATAATCACATGAAGCATCTAGAAGCTTTTATAGGTCTAACATGCATATAAGAAACTTCTTAAGTGTTTGATATAAAATATTTCATTATTGTCTTTCTCATATTCCAATCTTGATTTAAGATTCTTTGATTTTTTTTTCTCAGTGATTCTTATTTTTATATTTTAAATTATTTAAATACATATTATTTTCAATTTCTTGTTTCCTATATATAGATAGAATTGAATATATTTTTTTTAATAAATCCATATTAATTTATATTCTTAATATTTATATAAAAAAAATAATAGTTATAAAAACATCCATATAAGTTATTTATTATTATTTCACATAAGTTTTTTATTATCATTTCATATTATTTATTTTTAAGATATAAATTAATATTAGGCTATAAATTATATCTTAGAAATAAACAAAGATACATACACACACACACACCAATTATATATATAATTGGCTAGTTTTAATATATATTTGATTATATATAATCAAAAATAGCTTTTGAAGATATTTTGTAACAAATGAAACTTTATTTATGTCAATTAATTTATTGGTAATATAAATTTATTTATATTTTAGAATTTAAGAAGAAAATTAATTTAAAATATAATTATTTATGATTTATAATACTATTGAAAGAAAAATAAAAACTATAATTACTTGTTAAAGTATATAAATAAATATAAAAGTAAAATAAATAACATTGTAGAAGATATTACTTTAAATAAATTGCTATTGGTTAAAGGATTGGCTCTTGGTATGTAACAAAGCAAAGAGATAAAGTAGATGAATAGACAAAAGTTCTTAAGTGTATAAAGAATATGTTAAAAATATATTTTTATAGTAGATAAGATAATAATGGATAGTCTCAATAGAATGTTGGATAGATGTATTCATCAAAGGATAGAATTTATCTATTAGGACAGCAGCCACTACCTATAAATAATGGATATTGGAAATGAGAGATATCTTATTTTATACTTTCTTTCTAAGTAATCTTCCTGATACTATGTATTGGTGAATTTAAAATAAAAAAAAAAAAAAAAAAAAAAAAAAAAACTTTAATAGGTTATGGACCCACTCAACTTTAATTGTTAGTTTTGTAGTTCTTTGAAGTCTTTCTTATTGTGAAGAGTAGATCTTATTATTTTTATTGAAATTAGGATTTTTTATCTTCTAAACTTTCTTTTGAATCTAGTTGTTGATGTAGTTTTGCTCTTGTAAGTTTTTAAATATATTCATTGTCTTAGAAGATATCAATTACTTTAGAATGATGTTATAGAATACTAGTGTTGTATTTCTTTGTTGAGTTGCATCATCGGTACAGTAGTATTGTGCTTTTATAAGTTGAATTTCTTAAGAAATTTTCTTATAATGATAAGAAGATATTTGTAAGATTTGAAGTATTTTTATAAGAGTTGAAAGTGATTAAAGAATAAAATTACTTATTAACTCATAAAAGAGGCATTTTGGATTTTAAGGCAGCAAAATCTTCTTGTTTATTTAGTGAGCTTTATCTTCTCTTTTTCTTGATTTTCTTTGATATTCTTCTTTATTAAATATGGCTTCAAGTGAAGGTGAGGGTTTGAAAGTGATTGAGAAGTTTAGAGGTGATAAATTCTACCATTGGAAGAAAAAAATAGAACTTTTATTAGCTTCATTGGATCTTTGAGACATTGTAGTTGAAAGTGAAGAGCCTCCAAGTGACGATGGTGATGTCAAGGTGAAGAAAGAGTACAAATATTTTGAAAGGAAGGCTTTTGGCATGATTGCATCAAATTTGGATGATACCAATTTTTCACATGTAATTGCTTGCAATAGAGCAACAAAAGTATGGAAGACTCTTTGTAATATCTATGAGAGTAGAAACCTTCTCAACATTCTATGGACAAGGAAGAAGTTCTTAACGATAAAGATGGAAGAAGGAGATGATCTTGTGGTTCATGTCAACAAGTTAAAAGTACTTGCAAACCAACTAGGAGTTGTTGACAAGTTAGTTTATAATAAGGACATTGTATTGACATTGCTCATGAGCCTTCTAAAGTCCTACAATTATCTTATTGTGGCATTGGAGTCTATTAACATGAAGGGACTTATCATGAATTATGTCACGTCAAGATTTGCCTACAAAGTGATCAAGAAAAAAGAAAAAAAAAAAAAAAAAAAAAAAAAAAACTCCAATATAATGATTTAGCTCTATTTTCAAGACAAGGCAAAAGTAGTTATTTTCATCAATATGAACATTTAAAAAATAACATGAAAAATTTCTATATTTATGGAAAACCAAGTCACTTTATTAGAAATTGTTAAAAAATCTAGAAAGGAGATAGGAAGAATGCAAACAATACTTGTGATAACTTTGATGGAGATAACTATGATTTCATAGCAAATTAAGGAGCCTCCATGGCTGCTATGTCGAAGTGGATTATAGATTTAGGTACTACTAAGCACATGACACTATGCAAGTCTTTATTTGATACTTATGAAGAAATTTCAAAAACCAAAGTTTGGTTGGGAGACAATAGCATTGTAAAAGCCATAGGAATTGGATCCATTGTTGTGGAAATTATTATGAAGGATCAAATAAAGAGGATCAAATTGAAGGAAGTCTTACATGTGCTAAAGATGAAGAAGAATCTCTTTCATAGAATAAACTTGTATCACATGGTTGTAAGATTTAATTTGATAAGAATGGATATTTTGTGAAGACATTGGATTGACAACATAATGCGAAAGGCCTTAGAAATGGCAATCTCTACTTCATCAATTGTAAGAAGGTGAATGGAATAGAAGGAGCAATATTTGCTAATTTTTTACAAGATGAAGACAAGTTTACAATTTAACATTAACGATTTAATCATTTGAATGCCAAAAGCATGAAAGAGCTCTAATCCATGGTAAATGGCTTAAATCTTGGTTAATTCAGCCAGAATGCCTTAACACTTATTTGTGAAGGTTATATTCAAGACAAATAACAAAAGGCTTTATTTCCAAAAGGAATTGCAATATGTGCAAGGAAATTATTGGAGATTGTGCATCCTAATGTTTGTAGACCAATGAAAATATTATCAATTGAAGAAACAAGATACTTTATTATATTTATTGGTGATTTTTTAAAAAAAGTATGGATTTACATCATTAAAGCTAAGAGCAAATATTTCTTAAGATTTAAAGAGTTTAAAGTTCTTGTAGAGAAACAATGTGAATGCAAGCTCAAAGTATTGCGCATGAATAATGGAGGTGAGTACATGTCAAAATATTTTGATGAATTCTTGAAGATTTAAGGTATTGCAAGACAATCTTCTATTCCATATATTCCACAACAAAATCGAGTTGCTGAAAGAGCAAATTATACCATTGTGGAGATGGTTAGGAATATATTTCATGCACAAAACCTTAGGCATGAATATTGGATAGAAGTAATGATAAATGCAATGTATACAAGGAATATGTGCCCAAGAAGTGCACTCATATTAATGATTCTACAAGAAGCTTAGAATCTTAAGAAACCTTGTGTTTTAGATACAAAGATATTTAAATGCATTGTCTATTTAAAGATATTAGATTGTATGAGGTCCAAACTTGATGTAAAAGGTACAAAATGTGTATTTATTGGATATTATGAAGATACCAAGGCATATAGGCTAATGTATTTAAAAACCAAGAAGATCATCAAGAGTCATGATGTAGAGTTTTTAGAACATAAGGATGTTTATGAGTACTTGGAGATGTGTTGAAGTGGGAGTAATGGTATATTTGTAGACACATCTTTAAATTCAACAAAAGAAGAACAAGAAGATGATAAAGTTGATGATAGTGGAAATTCAAATCAAAATGAAGAACTAAAAAAGGTAGACCATAATATATCTATAATTGCTATAAGCAAAAATGAAGACAATGAAGATGTTGAAGATGATGATGTTAATGATGATGAGGAGTACCAACGTTTGAATGTGAAAAAATAAGTTTTAAGAGAGAAGAAGCTTGTAAGAAACTTTAAAGTGAAAAAAAATATCTTTTGAGAAATAAACAATAACTTGGTACATAGTAGAAGAACCACATCTTTCCTCAAGTAAGTAAAGAACATATCAATGTTGCTCTCTTTGTTGATCGATTAAGTTTGTATGATGCAATGAAGTCCACAGATGCTATGAAATGAGAGAATGCCGTGAAAGAAGAGTACAAATTAGTTATGGACAATAGAACATGGGAATTGATTCAATTTCTACCAAATTAATCTTCAATTAGTTATAAATGGGTGCTTAAAACCAAAAGAGATGCAATAAGCAATGTTGTAAGATACAAGTCTAGATTAGTTGCTAAAGACTACTTATAAGTTATTGATATTGATTTCAATGAAACATTTGCTTTCATGGCCAAATTTACTACCATTAAAACTATTATTGCAATTGGAGCAGCAATAGACTTTGAAATACATCAAATAGATGTGAAAATGGCTTTCTTGAATGGATATGTAAAAGAAGACATCTACATGGATCAACCTCAAGGATGTGTAGAAGAAAGCAAATAACATATTGTTTGTAAGTTGAAGAAAACTTTATATAAGCTCAAGCAATCTCCCAAGGCATGGTACCAATATATTGATACATTCTTTATGAATGAAGGATTTAGAAGGAGTGAATTTGATCAATCCTTATATGTCATGCAATGAAATGAGTTTATATTGATTGTCATCCTCTATATTGATGATTTGATCATCTTAACCAATATTATGAAGATGATGGATTAGTTAAAGGCAAAGTTAAAAAATGAATATGAGATGAGTGATTTGGAAGAACTTTACTATTGTTTAGGAGTGGAGTTTGTGAGAGATCATACTAAAAAATCCATTACAATAAACCAAAGCAAGTATATTGAATAAGTATTGAAATGATTCAACATGGAAGAGCGTAAGCCTATTGGAACACATTTAGATGCTAATTTGAAGTTGATGAAGCTCACAGATGAAGAGTATGCTAAAGTTGAAGATCAAGTGAAAGATGTTCTATATAAGACAATAGTAGATTCATTTATATATACAATGGTTGGTATAAGGATGGATCTTGCATATGCAATGAGTATTGTGACTCAATACATGTCAAAGGCTACACCAATCCATTGAGCAACCATCAAAAGAATCATGAGGTACTTAAAAGGTACTTTCCATTTCAAATTGTGCTTTGGAGATGATAACATTAGTTTGCAAGATTATTGTGATGCGGATTGGATTGAAGATGCAAATGATAGAAGGTCAACAATGGGATATGTGTTCTTTATTGGAGAAGGAGCTATCTCATGGAATTATAAGAAGCAATCCACAATTGCAAGATCAACAATGGAGGTGGAATATATGGCAACAAGTCATAGTGCAATGGAGGCAATATGGCTAAGACAACTTTTAGAAGACATTGGAATAGTACAAATGGAAGCAACTCCAATGGAGTGTGACAATCAAGGATGTCTTACATTTGAAAAGAATCCAAAGCATCATTCAAGGACTAAGCACATTAACATTCAATATCACTTCATAAGAGAGAAGATTGAAATAGGAGTGATTGATATAAAATATTATGCAACAAAAGACATGCTTGTTGATTTGTTGACAAAGGCACTAGTAAAGGATAGACATCACATGTTAATAAAGGCATTAGAATTGAAAGCCTTTAATCAATAGCAAAGTAGAATTATTAAAATATATAAATAAATATGAAAGTAGAATAAGTAATATTGTAAAAAATATTACTTTAGATGAGTTGCTATTGGTTAAAGGATTGGCTCTTGGTATGTAAAAAGGCCAAGAAATAAAGTAGATGAATGAACAAAAGTTCTTAAGAGTATAAAGAATATATTAAAAGGATATTTTTTATAATAAGATAAGATAACAATATATAGTTTCCATAGAATGTTGGATGGATGTATTCATCAAAGGATGGAAGTTGTCCATTATGCCATCAGCTACCACTTATAAGTATTGGATGTTCGAAGTAAGAGATATCTTACTCCATACTCTCTTTGTGAGTAACCTTGCGGATGCTATATGTTGGTAACTCCAAAATCCTTTTTCTTCAATATTACTATGGTTGCTAATGAGAACATTGGTTAGTAATGGGCTGCAAAGAAAACAAATAATATATAATAAACATGATTTGTAACCAATAAATACAACTACAATAATTTTATATAAACATTTAGAGAATTTATAATCGATTAATTAAATAAATATTACATTATAATTGCAACATACCAATTTAAAAAATAATTAAGAGTTTTATTACCAAAGCAACTATTGATACAAGTAAAAAGATTATCACATTACAAGGCAATAAATATAAATAAATAAACAAATAAATAAATAATCCATCATTTTGATTACCAAGAAATGAGGAGTACATTTCCCATCAAAATTCCACTTGAAAAATTAAAGCACAAAATCTCCATGACTTCCTAACTAAAAAAACCACATCCACCGCTTGGACGAATATCATCCACCACAAACGTACAGAACCAACAGGAATCTACAATATTCACAAAATCTACGAAAACTCTGAGAGAAATCTAGGAAATGGGCATGAAAGGAAAGTGGTAGATTTGTCAGGATTGAATGTCGGAACTCGCACTTCAGAGGGGAGTGCGAGTTGTGGGGTAGTAAGTAGATGGAAAATTGACTCAAGCCTCGATCTCATGTAAGTACTGTAATGCACACTTCTACTCACTCAATTAAGCGATTCATTGTGACCTCGGCGACAACACCCCCCCCCCCCCCCCGCCGCATCCCCACATCGTGTTGCCTGCTAATTTCGTGGGTGGATCTGTATGCTCCGAAGTCAAGCGTGGCGTTGTAGATCGGTGCTTTTGCCGGAGTTTTTGTAGCATTTGAAGACGATGAGGGTTCGCGGTGGGTCGGAAATGCGTATGGTATTGCGAGGGTGTGTAATGGATCTGTAAAAGAGGAATGGGGTTTATGGGATTTGAGGTCCGAAAGTCGATTTGTGGAGTTGGGTTTGTGATGAAACGACGAGGGGGTGGAGATAGGGGCAGGATGTAGGTTGGGGGAGTTGCGAGGGTTGGAGTGAAGGAGGGGGATTTTTGTGAAGGATTTTGGTGAAGCGGGAACGATGGCGGAAGGGGACGAGAGGAGGAAAAGTGCAGACGAGGGTGGAGCTGAAGGTGTTGAAATGACGACTGTGGATCTGTCGTCTCCATTACCGCCCCGCCATGCTGCTCCGGAGAGTCCTCCTGGTGCTCGGTTAGTTGTGGAATAATACTGCCGGGAGTGAAAATGCGGGGATGTTAAGATTGTTGGTGTTGTAGATTATTTATTTATTTGCTCGTTTATTTGCTGAGTTTTGATGATAGGAAAACAGAGTTCGTGTGATTCTTTAAGACTTGATGGTTTTTTTTTGGAGAGCAAGGAAGTGGGATTCGACCTGAAGAGATGAAGATCTCTTACCACTGGAAAATTGGTGTGGTGGCGTACTAGGTCACAGGGAAAAGAAAATGGGCAGGGACGGCCTTCTTCTCCAAGCAAGGCTATCTTTGAGCGCAGCGAGCGCGAATCGAAGCTGGAACTCTTTGAAAGTGATCCTCTTGTAAATGTGAGGGGCCTCAAAAGGTCTGTCTTCGTGATTAACTTCTGTTAGGATCGCGTTTTTGTATCGATTTTATTTTTGTTTTATTTTTAAAATTTATGTCAAGTCTTTTAATTGTGTCAGATTGGACGCTCTCGTTATTTAGTGCATGCCATCTTGGTTCTAGATGAGATTGTTATCCTCCCTGTCACTAAGAGAAGAAAATTTTCATTTCTTTCTTGATCCATGAGAAAGAAAAACAGCTATGTTGCGAAATGTTGTAAGATCAGCAGCTGCTATGCTGTAGCATAACTGCAGCAGTGATTTGATAAAGGTGAAGCGATGTGATGGACTTTTGTTTTAGTGATTCTGCAGTATGGGAGGTCAGCAGCATACACCACAAAGTCCTCAGGTCGGAGAGGTTGCAGTCCCTGTTGGTCAACAGCGTCAAGATCCTGCCCAGCAACCTTTTTTCCAGGTAGTTAGGCTTGTCAGTGATCAATGTTGTTGCAATTTAAATCTTAATATGCAGAGTATTCAACAATTTGATGACTGCTATTCTTAAAAACCTTTAGAGGTGGAAGAGATTTGAGTGAAGAGCATCAAACCCTCTCAAATTTTGTTTATCTCTTGCTTGCGTTTTTCATCACTCGTAACCTGTGGCTCTTCATTATGTATATTTATGAGCATTCGGTGCCACAACCACTTTTTATTATTGTCTGTGTTATGACACGATAATTGACTTGTCTGCAGACGAAGAGTGCAAATCTTGGGACATTGATGGGCGTCTTCATACCTTGCCTACAGAACATTCTGGGCATTATATTTTATATTCGATTTTCATGGTGAGCTGTAAGACATCTCAGCATGTTACACAATTTATCTTTTATTTTTTAGGTTCCTTTGGTACTCCATCTTTGTGTCTTATGCCTCTACTCACTGCAAGTTGAAACCAAGTGAACTTTGTCCTGCCTGTTATCTGATCACTTGATCACTCTTGCAGGATTGTTGGTATAGCAGGCATCTGGCACAGCTTGGTGCTGGTATCTGTTTGCTGCCTCTGTACATTTCTAACTGGGCTTTCCCTTAGTGCTATTGCCACTAATGGGGCTATGAAGGTGAGGAGGGTACTTTGATGTTGTGGTAACATCTAGTGCCGATTGAAAAGTCTGTAGGTGACTCCATGCTTATAACTTCTGTTTTCCTTATCAGATGTCTCTTAGCCCACCTCGTAGGGTACCTGCTGAGAAAAAGCGTAATTTGGGAGTCGGTTAAAGAATGTGATATGTTTTTATGTCTACCTTAATTCCATTGGATTGCCATTACTTTTAGTTGTCGAAATTCTCTTCGTGCTTGTAATCATTATCACTACAACTTCTATTCATATGCATTCTGGCTAGGCCTAGTCACTTGTTTCAATCAGTACTGGACTAGCTGGCTCTGTTGCAATTAGCTGGGATTTTAGATATGCTGTTATGTTTAAATCACTTTGTGGTCTGTTTATGGTGTTGTAACATGGCTCATGAAGCTTTGTTTAAAGTTTGAATCCAAAATTTCAGTTTAAAACAACGCATTCTGCTACGGTTGCAGGGTGGAGGTCCTTACTATCTGATAGGCAGGGCGCTGGGTCCTGAGGTTGGGGTCAGCATTGGACTTTGCTTTTTTCTCGGCAATGCTGTGGCTGGATCTTTGTAAGTGTCTGATTTTAGCCCCTCTAATTACTGCCGGCTTTCCTGAATTTGTGTACTTAGTACCACCAAAAAGTTAGTTTAACTTTACCATTGCAATTTAGCAAATACTTGAGGCTCGAGATTGTGCACATTTTCTCTACAGATACGTCCTTGGAGCCGTAGAAACCTTTCTCGATGCCATTCCTGCGGCAGGCATATTCAAGCGTAAGTTGTCGATGTGAGTTGAACTATTTGTAATGCCGCCTGCTTATGTCATAGTTTCGCAACTTTTTTTCAGAATCAAAGGAACGTCGTAGGGGAACTGGCTTCGGATTTGAGCTTGAAGCTTCAATTGATGTATGTGTTGAAGGGCATATCAATGAATATGCGTAGATTTTGTAGTACTATAGCAACATTTTGAATTTATCCCATTGAATTTGAGTCATGTTGGCTGTACAGAAACCATTACCATCACCGACACGCTTCCTGGAGCTCCATCTGGGTCAACAGTGACTGATGTACTGAAGACCACAAATATTCACGACCTTCAGGTTTATTCAGTAATACTTACAGTATTACTTTGCCTGATTGTCTTTGGAGGAGTCAAAATCATTAACAAGGTTGCTCCCGCTTTCCTTGTTCCAGTGCTGTTATCGGTAGCACTGATCTTCATTGGTATTTTAGCTGCTCCTCGCAGCAAAGATCCGCGTAAGTTATCTTAGTCTCTGCTGTTTGTATTGAGTTTATTCTCATTGAATCGCATATTGTACATAAATTGTGAAGGTTACAGAATATTATGAAGCATGGTTATAATTGAGTAGTTGGTACAATTGGCTGGGTGAAATACAGCGGGAGTCACGGGTTTAAGATGGAGTACATTGACCTCCAATTGGGGCTCTGCATTTCAACGCACCAATCATGCTGGCATTCCAACTCCTGACGGAGATATATACTGGAGCTTTTAGTAAATCTTTGAACCAATATACCTTCATAGGAGTATGAGTTTGATTTTCACTAAACCATTGTTAATATGTTACCTTCCCTTATACTGTGGAATTACTTCCTATATTAAATGCACTCCATCCTCTTATTGTGACTCCTTACTGTATTTTATGAAGCCATAGATGTACACTTACACACACTCTCTTTCTCTCGCTCGATCTCTCTCGCTCTCTCCCCAGTTCCTTCTGGTAGTTCTTTATTAATTTCTCCTGCTTGTAATTTTATTGCTATATACTCTTGTATTCATTACTCTATGTATGTTCTTTCAAGATCACTCTGGAATACTGTTCGGAGCTTTGGAGGTCAACCTGCGTTTTAAAACCTTTTTCTTTCATCGTGGGGATTATCTTATGTGTTTTTGTTATCATTTGCAGTTCATTGTTGGGACTTTTCTTCCCAGCTGTCACAGGCATCATGGCAGGTTCAAATCGTTCGGCATCTTTAAAAGACACGCAAAAATCAATTCCCGTGGGGACATTGTCAGCTATTGGCACTACCACGGCTTTGTATCTGGTGTCTGTGTTCATGTTTGGGGCAGTAGCCACTAGAGAACAGCTGCTAACCGACAGGTTCGACTTCTCACAACTCATTTGTAACTGAATATATTTCAGTAGTTCTTCAGTTTTCAAAATTTTAGATGAGATTTACCTTCAGCATCTTTTTCTCCTCCAATCATCTGCTATTGGTTTTATTTACACATGTTCTTAAGTTAAAACAATTATTGTATGATGCATTTTGGTGATGCTGAAAACCTCTTTAATGAATACAAAGTGCATGCATCTATTGTTCACTAGTGGCGTACTACTAACATCTGCATCCTGGAAATGTGAGCAGACTGTTGACAGCGACAGTGGCATGGCCAGTAGCTTGGGTAGTGCAAGTAGGAGTGATTTTGTCAACACTTGGTGCTGCTTTGCAGAGCCTAACAGGGGCTCCAAGACTTTTAGCTGCCATAGCCAATGACGATATTCTTCCAGTATTGAAATACTTCAAGGCCCCAGATGGTGTGGAACCTCATTTATCAACACTCGCCACCATGTTCATCTGCTCAAGCTGTGTAGTTATTGGCAACCTTGACCTCATCACCCCTGTTATCACCATGTTTTTTCTCATGTGCTATGGAGGTGTAAATCTGTCTTGCCTTTTGCTTGAGCTTCTAGACGCGCCCAGCTGGCGTCCTCGCTGGAAATATCATCACTGGAGCTTCTCACTTGTGGGTGCGGTTCTTTGCATCGGTGAGTTTTGTATCTTTTTCCATTTTTTTATAATTTCGGTGCAAAGTTATCCTAGAAATAGCGTTTTTTTTTGTCTTTGAAGTGGCATAAATACTCTTGAGGTAGCAAACTGTTAACCTGGGTTGTGCTTCGAGGTTGCTGTTCTTTCTGTGGTTTATGTATCGGTGTGCAGTATCGTATCATGGATATGACATGACAAGATTGATTATGTACTCTCAACTCACGGAATTCTGTTATGGATGCAGTTATCATGTTCGTAATTTCATGGTTATTTACTGTGGTCTCATTAGCATTGGCAAGTTTGCTTTATTGGTATGTTAGCATCAAAGGCAAAGGCGGTGATTGGGGAGATGGGTTCAAAAGTGCCTACTTCCAACTTGCCTTGCGAAGTCTTCGTTCTCTTGGAGGTGCTACTACAGTGCATGACTTGCTTTTTTGAATTACTTATTCAGTTCTTTAATACACCCCAGATGGCTTTTTTTAGGGTAACTCTTAATGCCATGGTAGAACCAGAACTAATGCATAAAATCATTCGCTGCAGCAACTCAAGTACATCCAAAAAATTGGTATCCTATTCCTCTCATCTTCTGCAAGCCATGGGGGATCTTGCCGAATGACGCGCCTTGCCATCCAAAACTTGCAGATTTTGCAAACTGCATGAAGAAAAAGGGCCGTGGAATGTCCATCTTCATGTCCATTTTAGAAGGAGACTACAAGACTAGAAATGAAGATGCTCGACAGGTTCGAGAATACTAGTTAGAATTTGGAATGTTATAAAAGTATATGTTTATTTGTCCGTGAGTGCGTGCGCAATTCTAGATTACACATAAAAGTTACAACGCATCATATAATGTATTGTACCAGTTATTGACAGATCCATGTGTTGCAGGCTGGCAAGCTGTTGGGTACGTACATTCAAGAGAAGAAATGTGAAGGAGTTGCAGAAGTCATTGTGGCAAGAAGACTTCTTGATGGATTTCGGGGCGTGGTTCAGACCATGGGGCTGGCCAACTTAAAGCCAAATATCGTGTGCATGCGATACCCTGAAACATGGAGAGATGAAGCTCACCGCGAAGTGCCTAACAATTTCTACAGTATCATCAACGACTGCTCCACAGCAAACAAGGCAGTTGTCTTTGTGAAGGGTCTGGATGAGTGGCCTAATGAATATGACAGGCAGTATGGTACTATTGACCTGTACTGGATTGTTCGAGATGGTGGTCTCATGTTATTGCTGTCTCAGTTGCTTCGTGCAAAAGAATGTTTTGATAATTGCAAAATCCAGGTATAAACTTTGAATTATTGATGCATTCTGATGGAATCTCGTGCCGTTATTGCAGTGTTACCTCTCAAATTCAGGCAAACATTACATTGAGCCTAATTGATGCAGAATAAACTTTTATTTTCATCACAGGTGTTCTGCATTGCTGAGGAAGAGACGGAGGCTGAAGAATTAAAAGCGGACGTGAAAAAGTTTTTGTATGATTTGCGAATGCAAGCAGACGTTATTGTGGTGACTATGAAGTCGTGGGAGGATCACCGACAGGAAAATGGAGTAGGCCGCGACGGTGCTATGGAGGCTTTCTCAAAAGCTCGCAAGCGGATCACAGTCCGTGTGGAGGAAATGAAGCAAGTCTGTGGTGATAGCAAGTTTGAGGCGGATTATAGTCCTTTCAACGAGCACCAGGTGAGCAAATTTGATGAAATTCTGCTGTTGGCTGATTTGGTTTATCTCGAGGATGAAAACGTGAATCGTGCCGTTCTAATTAGCCCTAGCTTCACTGGGTGTTGAATATTGAATTTCGTTGCATATGTTAACTTGTGTGCCGATTTTGTTTGTACTTCAGGTGAACAAGTTTTTGTATACAACATTAAAGCTCAATTCTATCATTTTACGGTACTCTAAACTTGCGGCAGTAGTTCTAGTTAGTTTGCCTCCACCACCCCCTCGCCACCCTGCATTTTGCTATATGGAGTACATCGACTTACTGGTAGCTAACATCCCTAGACTATTAATGGTGCGAGGATACAGACGAGATGTCATCACTGTCTTCACGTAGACAGGAGTGCAGGCCCTACATAGGACTTGTCCTGCTGCATCGAGTATTTATGTACACAATCATGATGTTGCGCCAAGGTTAGTGTTAGTTAACGAGCTTCTTTATTGGAAGTATACTGCGGATAAAACTTTCATCTCCCGCATCTTGTAGGTCGAGAAGATGAATTACTCTCCACTGCCGGTGTCGACAAAGCGACTCTAGGAAACATTCTTTTCCACCTTACTGTAGAATGAAACAAAGAAGAATCTATGATGAGACATTTTACTGTCTGAAATGTTTCTCATTATCTTTTAATCTTTTATCGTGTCTATTGCTCATTGTCAATGGTCTATTCCCACCAGAAAGCGATGTCCACATGATCTTCAGTTCTATATTGCTGAACGACATGTTAGTGGCAAGCCAGTCATATCTCCTTGATAATCACGCTTACAGGTTTTTGTCCAGAACCTAAAATTTCCATCTAACAATCACCGAAGCGCGCAAGGGCAGTTGTTGCCACCCTTAAAATATCAATGAATATATATTTTTAAAAGTATAAATAACAAATGTATATACATAAAGATTCTGCAATTCATTAAAAATAACCTCTGATGGTATTCAAATTTGATACTTCTATTTTTAATAGATATATTTAGTAAGTTTTTGATACGACTTCTTAAATCTTTGCTTTATAAATTAGAGCTGTATTAGCAGTTGAGTTGGTAAATACATTGTAATTAGAGAAATTAGAAGAAATGTAGCAAAAACAAAATACCAAAGAGAGAAATAGTTTGGTGATAAGAGCATTTTATAGAACCAGTGAAGAATGCATTTTTCTAGATAGAGATGCATGGAACAGAGGGCTTGTAGTACTTGTCTAGCCTTTGCATCAAGAACCATATAAACAAAGGAAGGAAGTGATGCTATAAAGCAAAAGGGAAGAGGCCTAAGTTGGCAGACTGATGCAGCACACTTGAGCAATTTGGAAGATTTAATTTTGCGAGTAATTTAGTACACAAAAATGAAATTTGAACAAAACTATTGGCACTTGCTAATAAATAAGCAAATAAATAAAGCAATTTCCATATAAATTTTCCATTTATCAATTAAGAAAACTTTGTCATTCGCATTTTGTGCTAATAATAAAGAATCTAAATTGTTACATAAGGAGTAGAGCTCCTTCCATTTTTTAAGTCTTATTGGTATTTTTATGATAGCAAGATACTCTCCTTTATTCAAATATTCACCCATTTCTTTGATTCTTATTTCTTTCATGTGGGTTACGACATCATTCTTTATGGGAACCACTAAAATATGAAGAAATGATTTAAAGAGGGTCATAGTTTATTAAACATGATATTTGTTTGTGATATTTTCAACTATTCCAATAGCATATTTCATTTGATGAATCATACTTTTTTTAAAGCATTATTCTTTCTAAGTGCAAATTCATATATATATATATATATATATATATATTTAAATACTTTAGAATTTCCATATATATATAGTCTTTAAAGATATTACTTTTTATTTTTTAAAATTCAAAAAACAAATTTGATGGATTAAAATTTCAATAAAGTAGAATAGGGAACATTTAATATCATTAAAACTATGGTAGTAACCTCACATGTTTGAAACTATTTCGCATTTATAAATTATTTAGGTAGACAAAGAGGAAAGTGGTGATTTATTAATTTTTTTAAAAAGATAAATTTTACATTGTATTCACAATTAACTACCATAAAATAAACAATACATGGTCAAATCTAAATTTAATTTGAATTTTAAAATTTATTAATACGATTTTTTTTAAAAATAACATTAAAACAATGTTAAAGGTAATGATATTTTTTAAAATATTTTTCAATATATATATATATATATATATATATATATGTATGAAAACTGACATCTCATTATATATTATGAGAAGTAAATAAAACACCAATTTGTTTCCAAAGAAAATTATGTATTTATTTGAGTTTTTTTATCTTAAATAAATATTTTATGGATTTTGAACATGGTAATCCATTTAATTTAGGATAAATTTTAATTTGAACCACTCAAAACTGAAATTGACCCACATGTCTTCACTCTATTCCCACATTACTTAGGACTTCCCACTCCATCATCAATCCCTCAATTTTGCACTTGGTGATGAACTAATTTTGCAAGGGAGTGAGGAGAGTAGGGAATGGGATTTGTGGGGAGCATTGTAATAGAGCAACTTAAAATTATTTAAAAAAAAAAAAAAAAAAAAAAAAAAGTAAATGAAAATAAAATTTGAGTGTGAAGGGTTAGATGAACATCCACTACAAACATCTACCCACAAGACATCCTCTTTGGATACAATCTTAAAACCTATCTCATCTCACCCAATATCATGGATCATGGGCAAAACATCAAATACACAAATAGAAACAGAACAAGTTAGGTGGGATATATCAGACATCCTATATATATAAAATAAAATATAGGACGATTGAGACAATGATGGAAACTCTTACAACAATAAGAAGACAGTGGGAAAAGTTCCATTTTCTGACAAGCATTATTTATGATGTATTGAGAGCGTTATCCATCGTATTATTCTTGTTTCATGCTTTTGCTGTGGGATCCAAAATTGTCATGACCTAAGTTGGGCTCCTTCTACAATTCTATGCAGTTGTGGTGCTTTTGTTTTGTTGTGGTGATGTCATGAGGGCAGGCTGCTGCCACTCTTATTGTGTGTCTGTATGTACTCCCATTTTGGGATTGGCATTGACACTGACCACTGCTCCATTCTCTTCTGTCCTTGTGGCCTGCATCCTAGAAATAGTGAATGAATGAATGAGTGGATGGGTAGGATGGAGGGAGGGAGGGAGGGATGAATGAATGAATGGGGGAAGAAAGGGGAAAAATAAAATAAAAACAAATTATACACGTAAGTTATTTTTAAAATAGCAAAGGGAACTTTTTTGGTGAGTTTTGGACACTGTATGTGCTGTAAAGTGGAAAGAAAACTTGTGAAAAAATGCAACTTTTTGAATTTTGGATTTTAATAATTGTTGTATGTCACCACATTTTTTGTTGGTATCGCCACAATCTTTTATCCATCACATGTCTCTTTTTTTCAATATCTTTTAAACCATTTGATTGAAGCTAATTTTTTTTATTGAAATATAAAATAATAATAATAATAATAATAATAATAAAACTATAATAGGTAGTGGATTGTGGTGGCAATGTCCTTAATTCTTTTATTTTCTATAAAGAATTCAAATGTATAAGTAGGTTACATATTTTGATTACAATTGAAGAAATTCCATCAAATTGTGGCTAAAACATTTTCAATTATGAGCATTATACATTATACTCACATGTACATTGAAATGTCAAATATATTTGAAGTGGATTTTTTTTTGTCATCGACTCAAATAAGTCTTAAAACTTCATGTTCAATGATTAGTTAAAACACAAAAATTCATGAAATGGTTTATTGATCTTCAGTTGTTTTTTATGATTGTATAACAACACAAATTTTGAATAAAAACATTATAACAGTAACTGAATTTAGTATCTTTTATTATTTTTTAATGTTATAATACCAAATATTTACAAAATATATATTGTAAAAATATATGTATTGGCTAGTATAAACAGAAAAGAAAACATTTAGGTCACATTTATTCTTATCAATCTGTCCTTGAAGTTTCGTTGAGATTGTTGTTGTTGAAAGTCATTGTGCTTTTTCAATTGAAACCAATTTCAATAAACTTAAAGACAGTATTATGCTTTACTTTAATTCTTACCAATATGAATGACAAGAACTTTTCTAATAATATTATTCTACTTTTAAGAATAACATACACAAGGATGTCATCTTTATTACAATGGCAATTAGTGTTTACTATTCCTGGATATTTCAAACATCAGGATTATATTAGCAGTCAAAATGTGTGGTAAAGAAGTATATTACAATATACATGCCAAAGCAGTTGTAGGCACATAATACATTTACACAAATGCATCATGTTCATTATCACTTAAAAGAACAGCTTCAAAGCCTTTGAAACATACTAAACGGTACATAAACTGTGAAAGACACATAACTTGAAAGACCTGACTTTATTTGTTCAAAAGCCCTGAATTCATGCCAAAAACCATATTGACAGCAAAAACTAATAACAATAACAATAACAGTAAACCATTGAAAACACAGAAACAATAACTCCAAAGACCTAACAGTACAAGAAGTTTTATGGAAACCGACAGGAGAAGTTAAATATATACACACACACACACACACACATACATATATACACACACACATATATATATATATATATATATGTAAATAATGAAAAAGTGGGGAGCAGGAAAAGCACGAAAATCGAGGAGCAAGAATAAGCAGGAGAGCAGTATTAACAGCAATGCAGACAAAATGCTAGAAACATGTTTTAGAATGACAGAAAAGGCTTAGCACTCGTCACACACCGAAAACTGGTGGCCCATTATGGTCGGAGTTGAGGCCAGGCAAGTTATTGGGAGATGAGCCGAACCGAGCCTGGAAGTGCACATGGTTCGGAACCACATCTTTTATGATTCTGCAACAGAACTCTAGATATGGACTTTGTGGGGAGGATTTATGACATGCCGATCTTATTGTCAGTATCGCCGACTCAGAGCTGCTCCTGTCGTCACGCGCTGTTTGTGCCTCAGACGACGTGTTTTTCCTCCACCGAGGCACGAGTGGGGATCAGTTTGACTCCTTCACCATGACTAGTCGTCGTTGGTCAGACAGTAGCTGTGAGCCTACGCAGATCCTTTCTCACAACCTCCCTGGACTCCAATCTGATGGACTGTTCAGATCACAATTCAGCCTCCCTGTGGTGTCACCGAGATCGTAACCACTCTGGGTAATATGCACTGTGTTAGTCTATCATCTCACTCCGACGGCAGCTCTGTTGTTTTTGCAGGCTGGTCTCGAACTGGTGTCTGTGAGCTTGGCAGTTGTGATTCTTAGCTCGGTCAGGGGCGCGCTAGTTGCTGGTTCAGTTGTTTTTGTTGTTGTTGCTGCGTGATGGGGTCCGCTGTTGATTAGTTTGGGTTGTTGAGGATTTCTTTCGCAGAGGCTACCTAGAGAAGCTGTCTACCTGGAAGTGGGTTCTGCTCCAGGTAGACTATCGAAATGCACCGCAACACAGTCTACGGCCACGACGAGTGGAGAAGGCATAAGTCTTCGTGGCGCCATGCCCGGCACGTTATCTCCATAGCGGCGTCGGGTGTGATCGCTGCGCTTGGCCCGCCTGTTCTATTGAGCACCATTACTGCGGTTTTCGTCACAGTGATCAACCACGGCGTACAACACATGCTGGTCGCTAGCTGGGTGCCTTACCTCAAAGTGTCCCCTATACCCTTCACTTTCATTTCGCCAGTTCTAGCCTTCCTTCTTGTCTTCCGCACCAACTCTTCCTATCAGCGCTTCGACGAGGCTCGGAAAGTTTGGGGTTCCAACGTAAACAGGTGCAGAGACTTGGCAAGACAAGCTTTGTCGTGGATTAAAAATCCAGAAGATGCCGCCAGATTGGAGTGTTTATTGCGCTTTCTGAAAGCTTATCCATATTATCTAAAGCTCCATTTGACTCAAGAGGGTCCGAGTTCTAGCACGACTAGTGAGATCAAAGATATACTGAAGGACGAAGAGTTCCACAAGGTCTCGCTGGTACAAAATCAACCCATCTATGTGCTGCAAGTGATTTCGGAGATTATTAGCCAGTGTCATATTCCAAACTGGGAGAAGATCTGTATGGACGCCAATCTGACTCAGTTCCATGATAATGTGGGTGCATGTGAGAGGATATTCAAAACACCCATTCCCATTGCTTACACAAGAATGACATCTCGAATGTTGATCATGTGGCACTTGGCGTTACCGTATGGTCTGTGGAATGATTGTAGATGGTTGACAATTCCTGCCACTTTTATGAGCAGTGCTGCATTGTTTTACATTGAGCAGGTCGGGGTTGTAATAGAAGAGCCTTTCTGCATTTTGGCACTGGATTCTATCTGCGGCGGGATCAGGTCGGCAATTGACATGTTCCGTGCAACACGCGAGGACGTTTTCCTACTGACAGAGAGTATTCGCTCGGAGCACCCGAAGAAAACTGATACTACCAAGAATCTGGAGCAGATAATAGAAATGGAGTCTATGGATTCTGATCCCCTGGAAGAGACGTCCAAAGAAGATGAAGTGATGCTTGGTTTGGGCAGGTCTAAGTCTTATAAGTCTTACAGCGGAAGAAAGTTCTTCGACAAATCAAGATCTCATTCTCATTCCACAACTAGCCTTTATGGGGACTTGAATGTTGGTTTCTCGAAGTTGAAGTCTGTAAGTTGAATGATGGTTGGCAGGGTGTTGAGTGAACGTGAATGACAAGCAAACGTGTCCGACTCTACGCAGACAAAGTATTTTTCAAATCTGCCAAAAGTAAGACTAGGGTCGCATGAGGTTAAGTCACAAAAGTAAACCTCATAAGTCATTCAGAAGCCTTGCATGTTCACTGAGGTAGTGTGAGACCAAAGCGATGTAAGTGAGGAACTGTTAAGAATAGGCATAACAGTCAAGAGGCAAAAATGAGCTGAGGACAAAGTGAGACTTGTTAGAGTGGAACATAGGGAGTTTTCCAGGCATTTTACTAAGTTTATACTCGAAGCAGCACTATAAATATCATCTCCTTGCAAATCAAGATTCGAATACTTGAGCTTGAAAACCTTAACCACCAAGTATTCATATCTTTACACTGTAAACTTTCCTGCACATAAATTTAAAGGAGCTACAATAATTTCACGGGAAAAGTGTGAGCATGTTCCCAACACGTCTGTGATTGGGCTTTTTGATTTAGTCTGAAGATGAGGAAATACTCTTTACACAACGAGCAGATACCTAGTAACAAGACACTGTCTGCAGTGAAATTGATAACGATGATTACTGCTGTAGTTAAGCCGGTGAAGTATAAGTAAACCATGATGCAATTGTTCACCAGACGTGAACGAGTATTTCCTATGCCGTTGATGTCAAACACGTAGTTTTAAAATACACGTACTTTTACCCCTACACAGACTCAGAATTGCGAAAGAGGATAGAGCAGCAACTAGTCCGAGTCACCGTCTCATTAATCGGCTTCTTTCTCTCTTTCTAAAACGTTCTAGCATAATCTCATCGGTGGCAGCTTGCCTTCTGTTACCTAAATCCAATTTCTCGCTGTTAGAACCAATCGGATCACCTCGCCCTGCTCCTCCACCTCTCCCCTTATCTTTAAAGGGTTCAGGATGTTCTGCTCAATAAAAATTTACATGAACAAGAGGTCATGAAGATTTTCCATGGTAAATTAAATGAGCTTGCAGGTGCAAAGAAAGGAAACTGATCCATAAAAACCCTAAAGCATAAATTCAGTTAAGGAAAATTTAATTACAATCCTTTGTGTCTGAATTCGCTTACCACTTCGGAGTTTCTCAGCATACTCCCGACCACGTTGGAAGTAATCAGCGCTGTAACTAGCTGGTATGCTGGACTGGGTTCTGCCACGACCAACAAATGGACGCTTATCTTGCAGTTGCTTCTTAGCAGCTTCTGTTTCTTCAATGTTTTTAAGCTTATACCTGTACAAAGTGCAGCATTAGGGGTTGTTACAGGACTCGCAAATACACAAGTAGAAGTACTAGTTCTGATCTAAAACATATAACTTAACTTTTTCCATCACAAAATTGTCAAAGTAGCTCACTCTATAGGCAGCTGCACTTCGGCAATACCAGTTGTCCATTGTGTGGAGCTTTCCTCAGCATTTCTTCTTCGCACCTAGAGGGTTCAAACAATCAAACAGGTCACAAAAGCAACATCCGTAGAACATCGCGTTTTAATAACAGTATGCAGTTGAAATGTACAATATCGAAAGCCGCATCATATGTACCAGAGTGCGACACATAAGAAAATAAAACTCAAAAAAAGAAAAGTTGCCTCACAAAGCTTTTGCTATCAAGTACACACCTTAAGATGCTCAGGTATAACATAAAGGTCATCCTCAGGGGGTTTCGATTCCTCTTCTACTACACCCAACTCTCTTCCCCTCTTCTTTGCCATCTCCTGTTCAATATACTTCAACCTGTCACGATTTTAGTCGGGGTAAGTCCCCATATAAATTAGAGAAGCATTAAGCAACCAGGGCGCATTCACTCCATAGCATAGCACGGCAAACTGATATGATTGTGTCTAAAGACGATTCAAGATTTTCCTTCTTTGGTTTTTACTCTTTAAGCAGAATTTCAACCAAAAAAATTATATTACACCTAACAGAGACAAAATGCGCATGAGGTGTTACAACGACAATGATGGACTCACATATTAGGGTCTTCAATGGTCACAGCGGTTTCTTGAGCAAATGTGTCTTGCAGCACTTGCTCTTCTTTCTCACCCTCACCCTCGCCCTTGTCCGCAACTTTGGGATTCAACCCTCCGAGAGATTGACCAAGCTGATTGGCCACTACTCCATTCCTTCGTTCCCTCTGCTTTTGCAAAAACTTCACCTCCTCCAACGTGGACCTGCAGAATTTTCCAACAACAACCGATGAATTTCAACAAACATCTAAAACACACACCCCCACGGTTACGACCCCATTCAACAGAAGGCATTCATGACGAACGGCCCAAGCATATGTGCAAAACCTCGTCAGAGCTTCTATAAACAAACCCCATGTGATGAGTTCTATACCTGATTTCCTCGTCATCGTCGGACTGCTCCCCTGCTTCAGGAGCGTTACGCTTACGGAACCGCTTACCATTGGCCCCCATGTTGTAAAACCAGACAAAACTTCACCAAAACCCTCGAGGTCTAGCTCTTCAGCCCCATCTCCACAATCACGATCATTCACTACACCCCATCTTCACCACAAACGGAGACCAAACAAGAAGAAATACCAGCAGGTTCCTTCACCCTGTCAAGTGTGGGGCTTCGAAACCCTAAAACTCCACACACACCCTTGAAGTTCCACCGCCACCCAAAAATGTCTCCAGTCACATGCTAACATTCACAACATCCAAGCGGATTGCTGAAAATTGCTCAACACGACATGTGCTGCACTTGCCCGCGCGAAGCCGAACATCCACACCCGAAGCTCTGGGTGATGCAGGAGCCCAGCCTCCGCTCAACAATCTCAGCCAAGCCCATGCCGACGATAACCACACCTCGGAACGAACGTGGACGTAAGCCTGGACGACTTGACGACGAGCTCATTTCGTCGACGATTTGTGATAATCTCGTCAACTGACCGGTGCGAACACCAGTTTCAGTGAACTCGACGTTACTGAGGGGAACGGATTTCCACTTTTGGAAGTTTCAGTCCTGTTTTGTGTTTTCACTACAAATCAAATAATCTATGTTCACAATGTCAGTAATCTATGTTCACTATATATTAAGTTTAAATTCAATTTTTAATACTACAGAAGAATAAATTGTAGGTGTATTGAAAATAACAAAACTATAGTGCATATATAAAAAATTCTATTGTATGCAAAAAGTACAAATCTAAATAAACTTACAAAGACAATAATGTATTTAAAAGAATATATATATATATATGTTAGATAGAAAAATATACACACAATAGAAAACATCAAATTATTTTATTAAAAAAAATTAAAAATGCTTACAATAAATCTATTAAAATAAATGGCTTGCTTTTGATTGTCCTTTCATATGTAATTAATGAGATAATATTAAGGGTACAAAGACAAAGAACCAAAGTATCAAAAAATAATAGAGGATAAAAATACTAGATTAGACATAAGATTATTTTTTAAAATATAAAATATAAAATAAAAAATAAATCTAAGAATCAAACAATATTTGGATTGTTTTAAAACTTGTGTTGCCAAGATTAAGGAATCTATTATCTTATCCTTTTAATTAAACTATTAAAAATTTGATCTTATAGAAACTTCCAAGGAGGTTCAAAGTGTTATAGGATGATTCTAAAAATAATGAATAAATAAAAAGAAAAAATAAAATAAATTTAAAACAAAAATAAAATTCATTAAAATGTCTAGAGGACTAAAGAATGCCCCAAATGGTTGTAAACATCAATTAATGCTTCTAAAAGACTATGGAAGATTCTTAGAAACTTCTACACTTTTATGGGAGGTTTTAGAAAACTTTATAGTTTTTCAAAGATCAACAAACATTAATATGAATATATAAAAGGTTCAAAAAAACTTAAGAAGATTCTTAAGGCTATAGCTTAAAGAATGTTGTAATAAAAAAATACATATATATATATATATATATATATATAATAACTAAAATACTTCAAATAATAATTTAAATAATATGTTTTTTTATCAAAAAAATTATAATAAGAATAAAATTTATAATTATATGATTTTTTAATTATACAATTTAAGACCTTAAAATATATTTAAAGTAAATATTTGATTAATTTTTATTTATAAACACTCTTGAAATAAAATAAATATGTACTATATTTTTATTGTATAGATTTTTATGTTTAAAGGCTAAATAAATAAATAAAATCATTAAAAAATTTATATTTGAATTTAGATTTATTAAGATATTAAGAAAAAATAATCAATTAATAAAAAAATAGTACATTTGAAGTTTTTCAAATATTATGAATGGATAATAATTCTAAAAAACTACTAGGTGAATACTCCTCTTTTATTATGTTGACACCTCCCTCTATTCCTAAGCTACACCAAGAATATACCATGGCTATAAGTTTTTCAAAAACCTACACACTAGCAAGGCTAAAAGGTACAAAAATAACAACAAAAATTAACAAGAACCTACAATATAGAAATATTAATGATATAAAAGCTAAACAAAGAAGTGTGTCAACATAGTGGTTCTGATAAGTAGACACCCTTCTTTGATTGTTTGTTTTATTTACTTTGATTAGCTTTTGTATCGCTAATGTTTATATGTTGTGGATTATTATTATTATTATCATTTTATTTTTATTTTTTTATACCTTTTAGCCTCATTTGTACATAGCTTGTTGAAAAGCTTATAACAATGGTGTATTGTTGGTCTCGCTTGGGGGGAGGGAGGATATCCACACAATAAAAGAGGAGTGTCCACCTAGCAGTTTCTTATTTCTATTGACATAATTGTTGTAAAGTAACAAAATATCTTATGATTTAAAAAAAATTAGTACATGCTATGAATTTTTTTTGTATTTTTTTTATTTAATTTTATATAAAATTTTATACATATATTTTTAAAAAATCCTTATTCTTTTAAAAGATGCATTTAAAATTTTTAATGCCATTTTAAAGTATAAACAAAAAAAATATAGATTTAAGGTTCTTGTGAATTTTATATATGGTCATTAGATGTATGTTGCATCTAAAATAAAATGACATCCTTGCAATAGAACTATATTTCTAAGTAATTATTGATTTCAAAACTTACAAGAAAATTTTATCAAATAAAAATTAGAAAAAAAAGTGGATGAAAAAGTTATTTTTAATTATTTATAAATTATTATAATAAAATAAAATAAATCATTAACATCCATAACAACAAGCCATGTTTGAAAACAATTTGAAAGCATGTCAATAACTAAAATTATTAAATATAAAAATATATATATATTATATATATATAATATTATATTCAATACATAGTTTTGCAACTTGACATATAGTATTACAACTTGTAATTTTTATAAAATAACATCTACATGATTCTTATGATTTTTCATATTTTTTGTATATACTAAGATGTTTAATTTATAGAGAGAAAAGAAAAATAAATAAATAACTTACAAGAGTTTTAAATGAGATATTAAAAAATACCATCGATACTTGGAATATTGTACAAACTACAAGTTTTTTTTGGATAAATTTTGGATAAATAGTAGCAAGTTTTTTTTTAAAAATATAATTTGATGTAAATTTTTACTCTGTGTACATGATCAAAAAGTATCAAAAACTATAGTTGAAGATAGCAGTTTTTGTAGTTATTACTTTAAACTATGCTAATCAACCATTATGGTTACTTACCCATGTTTTTTCTATTATTTTTTATTAATAAAAAGAATCGTAGAAAATGCATTTGATATTGAATTTTAAAATATTCAAAATAATTAGTAAATTATTGCTCTCAAACCTCAAAGTTATTGCACAATAAGTCATAGATCAATCCAAATGACGGTTATAGCAGATTGATTGTACTGTTATTTTAAAAGTCTGTGTATTGTATTGCTAGACTTATAGTGCTGCAAATAACTTTTGGCATTGCCTACAGTCGCCTGGAATATTCTAAGAGTGATTTCAAATGTGGATTAATTTTGACATGTTTAATGTAAGATAAAAACATACATTTAACAAAGCTGGGAATCAATGTTTTAGCAATGACTTCATTCAATAAACAAAGTTACATATATACATATTCATATAAAGGTGTATCATAATTGTTATTATTAAGGCAAAACTGACACTGAACAGAATTTTTTGCTTTCCATATTCAATCAAATGTAATTTAATTCATCCTGTAGAATGAAAGCAATAAACTGAGGTAGTTGTGTCTGCATTGATTGCATCCTTAGGATTTTTATCCCGAAATGAGTGTAAATTCGAAATCGCTCACATACCGTGCCTGGATATGTTAATCATCAAATTCAGATTCTAGCATAAGAACAGCACAAAGACATAAAAATGTAAGTTTTCACTGCTTGCATCAGGACAACATAAAATTGAGCAACCTGGCTCTCATTCTTGATGAATACTGATAACAAGAGAAGAATTGATGTCCAGCAAGGTAGTGGTAAGAATTTTCCTCAGTGGGTTCTTGATACCATCAACGCTGCCAATAGATGGCCTTCAACCAACCAGCATTTAGAGCTAGTAATCCCTTTTATTCTGCAAATAGCCGAGTGTTTGGAAGATCCAAGACAATCCAGCCCAAGAGATATTTATCATGCCAAATCACGATGTTTTATCCTTACAGAATTTCTAGCTGCCAACGTTGTGCAAAGAATTTTACTCAGCGAAGAAATCTCCATCCATCACGAGACGTGAAAAAATCTGATTTACCCCTATCGACAAAACACATTCTTGCATTCTTGCATCAAGATAGAGGTGCAGATATAACTGAATTGCAGGTCACTTTGAATGAGTGAAGAGGGACTTAGAGAGCGTAAGCAGTGGAGACAGCAATGAGATGGTACAACGAAAAAAAAAATATTGAACGAGTTGCAAAGGATGATGCAACCTCACTCAGTAATTACATGATTATCCTACAAGGTCTATGCACATCTTCATAGTGTACGATGGAACATCAAGAGGGACTTGCAGAAATTTTTGAGACAGAAATACCATCCTCGGGGCCAAAAAGTGTTACCTGCACCACAAAGCAACGTATTCAGTCTTCGAAACCTGCAACTTAAGTACTCGGGCAAACAAAGCCGTCGAAAATAAGTCGATTTATTGCTGCATAGTTAGGAATATAATAAAAAGTTGTAAGTCACTCACATTTTGATCTCGAGCAAATCGCCTTGCCAGCAAAATTGCAGCATTCCGCTCTCTTTCAGACTCCAAAACAAGCATCAAGCTAACACTCTTGTTGGCCACCCAATATAAAGCCCGTGAGGCAGCTTGTCCCCCACCGCGTGCTCCACAAAGCTGCAACCAACCGCAAAATAATTGACTGCTGTTTGTAAAACCAGAAGCATTAGGACATTCATTTTTTACTTATTATGAATACTGTGCATGACAATGGTTCTGTTGTCCAACTAGATTTAGATGTTAGGATGCGTTAATGAACGTTCCTGAAAAAATCGAAAGATACTAGAACTGGATGTAATATGTAAGGAAAGTCACCTGAACCATTGATGTGTACTCTTCCTTAGCAATTTTTTTACGACCTTTTTGAAGTTTGATTCGTATCCGATCAATATGCATCATAAGAAGTAGGGGTTTCTCCAGAACCTCTCCATTTTGTTGAACCAATCTTACCTGTTCTCAACCCTCAAACATGCCAATCCAATCATTAATCTACGTAGTCGTCAAACAAAAGAGAAAGTTATCCTGTTCAAGACACTGTCACAAAAAGCTGCATTGAATCTATCACTAGAATCATCTTAACAGTAAAAACTATGCAAAACAACGACAGAATTTGATAAGAATCTCACATTGAACTCAGTACTGCCTTTCTTGAATAAAGCCTCCACATAATTTCCAAGTCCAGGAGCTGCAAGAGCAAGACCACAATCAGCGCCTCAAAAAACTGAAGTGACTAGATTACAAACCATTGCAACTGGTTTCATAAACAATAGCAGGCTCTAGGGGTAAGTCGAAGTCATGTCAGCTCACCGGCATCTAGAGATCCCGTTGTAAAAACAGATTCCTTTTTCCCATCTGGCATGGTCAGATCAGCTCGTAATAGCCAACCCACATCAAGGGGCTCGGGTGCATATTGAGGCCTCGTAGCACCTACAAACAAACATACTGTGTACATGAAGCAGCATACTCACATGGTTCCACAACGCTTTGGAGAGACCAATCAAAGTTTCTTGAATGTGACAAACATAGAGGGGCACTGAGAACCAGTCAATAAGAGGCTCCGAAAGACAACCTGAGATGCATAACACTGCATTCCTAACTCATACTTCCTTATAAAATACTACTGCTGGATGCAGGGACATCACGTAACAATAAATATTCAGATGCAGCATCAATCCTAATTGGCATAACCATTCTGCCCAAGTCATGTAGAATTTTGAAATTTTCAAGAAAATAAAGATCAATATACTCTTGCATACCAGTGATTGGTCCACCCTTGCTTCCATCCACCGCAATCCGGTGCCATTGTATGACGCATTTGCTAACATCTACCGACGTCTCGTTGGTTTGTGTTATTACCAAAGCACCTCCAAGGCGCTCTTCTCCTTGTATCTCATAATGCCCGGTCTGACCAGCTCTCTTGGCTGCTAGCAACTGTGGAAATAAATGAATAAACAAATGAAAATCACTTCAAACCCTCATTTTAACTATCGCGCCGCCTCGACTCTGAACAAAATCCATAAAACTTGTCGCCTGTAGGCTAAACAACCAAGTTGTCAACAGAACTATGCTCAACATACAATTTCACAACACAAATTCTAATGCCTCAAGGGTTTTCCGTACTTCAACCGTATTAAATAACATCATGTGAATCAAACTGGATCGACTTCAAACTGCCCAAAATATTATATTAGTTCTGAAAAATCGCGAGTAATCATCATTCTAAATCTACTAAATGACGTTGATAAATACCTCTTTGCGCAGTTGAACCACTTCACCAGCCTTTTGAGACAATCCCTGTCGCAATCCTTCAATTTCAAATTCCATATCCATGGTCTGCACAAATGTTACAGTTATTCTTGTTAACACAAGGTTGGCTGACCAGAAAATATTAAGTAATTTGTTACATTGCTACTCGGTGAGGAAACGGATTCCCCAGAATCATTTAACAAGACCCACCTTGCTAGGTTCATGCAGCATCCTTATTCTCCTTGCATCGTTGATTTCTTTCCTCATAGCCTCGAGCTCCTGCAACCAAAAATATCAAATGAATACCCAGCAATTAATTGCAGTAAATGGCGTTGTGCCATTCAATTGGTAAAGATTGTTTCAGCATGGACATATGTAAATGTATGTGTATATATATATATATATATATATATATATTTATTAATTTGTTTTTTATTTTTATTTTGTGTGTGTGTGTGTGCTCGTGAACTATTGTAGGAATTCTGAGCAGTTGATGATTGATGATTTCAAGAACTGTCTCATTCGTGAACAGAAAATGAAAAACAAAAGTTAGTTCAAATGATGATAAATGAGCCGAGTGTGTCTTTCGCTCCGGGTGGGTGTAATATACCTCCTTCTCAGCAATACTCAGGAACTGCGTCTGCTCCTCGAGGGCAGCTTCTACTCTGAGAACAGCAGCCTGTGCAGCCTCTACTTCAGCTTGAGCCTTGGCACGAGCTTCCTTCATTATTCTTTTCGAGTCATCTGATGCCTGGCAGCCTCAGAATAAGCCACAATCTTTCGCAATGTCGAAAAACTTTAACTAAAAATAAACAGCTACTGTGGGCAGAACCAATGAATTTCTTCATTACCTGATTGAATAAAGCGGCCATCTTTCTAACTTCAGCCTTCTCTTGCGCCAGTTCATTTTCTTTCTGTATCCATTGCAATTCCATTGCTTCAACCTGCCAATGACGTCCATAAGAATTAAGTTAAAGTCCACATTCATAACAAAGTCTTCATCTTCACCGTCATACTTAAGAGATCACAGAAAAAGGCAGATATTCAAGGCAAGGTGGCAGTACAATGGCAAGAGCTTCTGTAACGTCTTCCTTGTTCCTCCCAGCAACACGCCCAGCAAGCTCGCTCAACAGAACTCTCAACTTCTTCGTAAGTGCTGACCTATCCATTACCATTATATCCTGCACCTTGTGCTGCTCATAACATGATCCCAATATCTTTTTAGAACCAATTTACAAGACAATTACAGAAGGACTTAGAATTGGAATTTACGGAAGTAATGTACAAGCAACCATCACGTCTTTTTATAACATACTTATTGGATTAAGGCAACAGAATTGCATGAATTGTGAAGTAAACTGTGACTGCACAACATACCACACTAATACAATTTAGGAATCAACATAGCAAAGAAAGCAGCAGAGAAGCTGCAGCATATTGATTTTGTGGACGATACCGAACTCGGTTCTAGAAAAACTATCTACCACATAAACTGCAGAAATGAACACTATTTTCAGTTTGAATATACGAAGAAAATAATTAGACATGTCAAGTGCGACTGTCAAGAACAATATAATGGCCTGAAAAGGCAAGTATATTACACACCTTTTCACATTCTCGAATGTTTCCACCAGTGCGCCTGATGGAGCTTCGGAGCATTGGAGGGCCATCACCAGGACTCCGGCTCATCTTTGAATCGGGACTGTGACCATGAGAATGATTGTGTGAACAACCATGAGAGGGACTAAATTGATGACCACCCGATAATCGCCTTTTAGTCTCCTTTGCTGGACTGGGACTTTTCTGCGAGAGTTTGCAGAACACGAGAATCGACGATCATAACACGACGGAGAGCACCAAGAAAAAGTCAAACTACAGTACCCGGACATAGGCTGACATTTAGTATCCAAAAATGAAGTCTCATTTCTTTGGACAAATAAATTAGACAGTGAAAAATCTGTCAAAAATAGCCATCAAAAATATTTCTACCTCTGATTCCGCTAACTTAGCAGCGGCAGCTTTGGCAGCAGATTCCCCACTCTCAAATTCCATGGTTACATCGCCAATCGAAAGTCGCTTCTGAAGCTTTTCCAGTTCAGCAGCTTCCTTGGCTACGATCTTGGATGGAGACTCTGCGTCGTCATCTTGGTCATGGAAACCAGCCCCATTCAATATCACATCAGCTGTAACACCTTTCATTATACTTTACCCTCCTAACTCCGTAACCTGGGCCTTTTCAGCCCTCTGCCTTCATCATGAGCGTAACTCTGTTACAAACTAAAATCTGGCTCAGCTCCAAGTGTTTGATTAGACTGTGACTGCTATGAAGCCGAAAATTTTGCTAAGCTCCTCTTCACATCCCCTGCCAAACCAGGAAAAGAGTTACATGCCATTGCTGAATGAAAGTGAACTTGACATGTTGGGGGAAACTCGACACCTTGCAAGTGCACATAAAGTCTTGCTTCGGTGAAATTGACTAAAAAATTCTTACCCTTCCTTCAATGCAAATCAAATGCTCTGCTAGTCAAGTCTTTGATAAGAATTTAGAATCACACTCAGAGGCTCTGGAATTTCAGTCTCATTGCTCTGCAAGGCAGACGCGATACACGAGAAATTATCAGAGAGCAAATTATGTTTCACGCCAAAGTAAAGTTCCGTCAACATCATATCCTCCTTTCTCACTGGCAGCAACAAGGCGAGCTCCTTGCGCTCGCAGCAATTAAGAGAAGGATGTGTAATATTAAATGCTCATGAAAAGAACGAAGGAACTAGCTACATACCATAGACGTTGATTATTTGATCATGGATCTTTATGAACCACCTTCAATACCATCCACTGGAAGTGTGTATCGTCACGACAGAAATCTCGTCGGTGCAGAAGAGCAATGTTGCATATCACTCAATCCTACACGCTCGAGTGCGAAAGAGATATAGTACGCCTTCAGCAAAAATTTATCAACTCTCTAATATTACCTCAACCTGCACTCAACACACCATGACGGACTCCGGTCATTGTGTAGCTTCCTCTCTGCTTCTCTGTGCACGCACAGAAGTCACTTACTATACCAAAACTCAATCTAACAGTGAGAGTAGAGCTTTTCAAACCAACAAAACCACTCATCACTCGAGCGCACTCATTTCTCAAATAGAGTGACAGATAAAAAAAACTCACATCGCGCACGAGCACTTGTAACCTACGCAGGAAATCCCGGCTAAAGGAAAAAGTTACAATTGACCATTCACGTCCTCACCGTTAACTAAACGCAATTTCCGCTGTATAGATCCACTCCCTCAAGCTAAACTTCTCGTAAAACCCCCAATCCGCTTCCAAGTACTCGCGGCTCAACTACGACTCTTCTCCCAGCACCACAACCTGATTCACAATTTATGAAAAGACTCATTAGGCGACCAACTCTTCTAATTAGCGGTCGGGCGGGGGGGCGAAACAATCAGCCTTTCCTGTCGGCAACAACAACACTCACCGGTGCAGCGGAAAGGCGACAAATAGGACCAAGCAGCCACTGCACCGAAAAACCGCAGAAGAGTATTATTAGTAGGTGAAATCTGAAATCACGACCCTGGCGCAGTACCTGGGGCGATATTACCTGAAAGCTCTTGTCTAGAAATGCAGAGATTGCGAGGATCCTCGCTTCCACTCTGTGTTGTGCCAGTTTCCCTGCGTAAGCTCTCATCACATTGCCTCCCCCCCCCCCCCGGCAGAGAGACGGCTCAACGGATGGATGACTTCATTCGTTTCTTCAAGGTCCATCTACACGTTCGTCCAGGGACAATAATCGGGATTGATTACCGCCCTGTTCAGGGGAACGAGATTTCCTTGTCGGGAACGTCATTGGAACAGCATGCGTCCACGTGAGAAGACAGTCTCGAACCCGTTCACACCGGAACACTGACTGACTTACTTAAAACTTCTAAGATCTCCTCTCAACCCATGACTAATTCTATTACTATTTCCTACATTGTTTTTCTTTTTCTCCCCTTTTACGTGTTTTTGAAGAGGAATTAGTGCTTTTTCCATCTTTTCTTGAGATGGGTTTGACTAAATATTTTAAAAAAAAAAAAAGAAAAAATGGTTTTGCAAGTTGAATGAAAAAAATATGATGGAAAAAAGTATACATAGAAAAAACGATTTCAAAACATTCACTACATAAAAATTTTGTGAAGCTCTAGGTGTTTGCAATTTCTCTTTTACAAAATTTTTAAATAATCTTTGGAGTTGGATAGTCATCTGTTAAATTAAGATTTTTTTGCTTAACAATACATACCAAATCTTTGTTTCATTCTCTGTATGTTTTGCGTGGTGTCATAAATAAATCTAATTCTCTTTTTAGATCGTATTAATATTCCAACACCCTAAAAAATGTGAGATCTCTTAATTTAACTATGACAACAAGAAAAAGAACTTCTGCAGCTTCTATCATTAAATTTTAAAATTTTCCATAAAAACAATCTAAAATAATATTTTTGGTAAGACATAAAGCATTATACCATTATAATAACAAGGTCAAAAGACCTAAAATTTAGGTCTGGATCTCATTTTAATTTTTAAAAATGACTAAATACAATGAAACGTCTAATGTAAAGTGAATTTTTATTTTTATTTTTTTGTCTTTTCTTCTTCCTCGTCTTGTAAAATTATCCATCTCAAAATTCTTTATCTGGAAACAATTTTTGAGACGAATGTTCGTGCAAGTATTTCAAGTTATGATAAACTTGTTCTGACATTCGTTATATTACAACATTTTGTTGAACTTTATTCTGTTCTTCAAAAATAAGAAAAGGTAGAAAAAACTACTACCCATGAGAAAAATAAAATACAAAATACAAAATACAAATCCAAACAAGTGTAGGAAAGAATTATTTTTTCTTTTCACACAAACTATTGGTATTTGTTTTGACAACCTGCCATACTTTTACAACTAGAATATTTTTTCTAAACATTTTTTAAAGATATACATGACATATATAGTTATTGATAAATTAGAAAAATGATAACATTGATAACATGGTAATCATGTTCCCATCTGGAGTACTCATAAGTTCTAAAGTTCTGTTGGGTGGCAGGTGTTTTTTCACTTGGAACTGGACCAAAACCAAAGCTATTTTTAGTTATTAACATTAATAGTAAAGAGGTAAATCCTTTAATATATTATTAAATAATTTGTATATCATAGAACCAAAACCCAACAAACAAACAAAAACTAGATGTCCACAAATTCCATCTCCCTATTTTGCATCCATCCACAATTTATCATTTCATCCATCTACTTTTTCTTCATATATTTTCCTTTGTGCACATAGGGCACTCACACACTATATCCTACATCTCTTAATCTTTTTCATTAACCTTAAATAACACATCCAACAAAGGATTTCTCCCCAATCCAAATGTGAATGATGTGACTGATGTCATGCAACATAGTGTGCATCCAAATGGTCGAGTAGGGATAAGTTCTATTAAAGTTGTATGGCTTTTTTCTTTTGGGGGGAGTGAGTCAACAACAAATACATCATACACATAGATAGATAGGTAGATGATTGGGGGTTGTTGGACTCCAAAGTCTCTCTTGGGGTACTCCAACTCCTACTTCCATAAATGAAATGAAATGAAATGCCCAGGTGGATGGATGGATGGATTGATAGATGGATGAAATATGGCATTGGTTGGGGCTCAAAGGAAGAGTTTTGTCAACTCTTCTGACACTTTCAATGAAATGAAATAAAATAAAACCTCCACTTCCAGTTTTAGGGTTGACAAATCCACCACAGCACTGGATGACACCCATTTCACACTGTTGTAATACATTCATGGGTTGTTGGCAACATTGTGGGGATAACAAACATAAATTAGAAGAACAAAGTTGTGATCTGGTATAGACTACTACAAAGTTGCCAAGAAGCCATTTTGCATTAATAGAGAAGTGTGACTCATGGGTATCCAGGGTCTGGGGTTTAGTATTATTTTATTCAGTTTTTCCTCCTTCATCAACCCAGAAATGAGGTCAACGGCTTGCTGCTCTCACTAATCAAAGGCCTAATTGCTACTGTTCAAATGCATTTAATACTTACCAAGGCCATTTGGTGCACTGGAGGACAGTTCCTGCACCTGGTAGTGGGTAGCCAGCTGAAGGCTACATTGAATGAATGGAAGAACTCAAGCGTTGGATGAACGAACCAAATCATTCATTCTTTTCGTTGCCTTTGATGAATGTGATTCGTTTTAAACATATAAATTCCAATTGGTTTGTTATTGTGCATGTGTTAGATAAATTGCTACATTAACTTGTTTGTTTCCTCTCAAAAGTATCCAATCATGTGTGATCCATGTACTCTGATGGTGAAACTTCTATCCGCAATAAAAGAGCCCCTTGACTGTTTCAAATGAGTTTTGATGCCACCGTGAGTAAGTAAGAAACATGACATTTACACATGTTGTACACGTCACATACGGTGGTTAGACGAATGGGTGGGTGGGTGGCGTTGAGCCCGCTGGGTATATTTATCAGAAGAATGACAACTCCTTGTTCCATTTGTAGGTCCTTTCCAGGTCACAAATGGATAGAGTTTTGATGGGTGTCCAAAGGGTGAGACCCACCTCGATATTCTTTGTAGTATACTAATACCACCATAAAAGCCAGATTCTCTTCCAGCCAAATAAATAAAAATGGAAAAAATGTTGTAAAAAATGTTATATTAAAATTATAAAAATTCAATCAAATGTGTTGGGATGTCAGCATTGTTTTATATTAGTAGTAGCACAATAGTTTCATCTGTAGTATTGAGACAATTTGACATAACATAGTGGTAGAGAATGCATTTTTTAAAATAAAAAATAAAAAATCTAAAAATCTAAAACTTAATTGTGTATTATCACAGTCATTTTCAGTTTCCTATTGAAGAAACGTATAAAAAATTAAAAAATAATTAAAAATCTGTTTTTTCTCGTCTCTATCCATGATTAGTTTGTGAAAGTTGCATGTAAAAATGTCTTTCTCCTCATGAATAAAAAATAAAATAAAATAAAATAAAAATGTTCACAAATTAATATCACCTTATTATTTTTATTTACATGTAATCCATACAAGTAAGAGTTCATAAAATACAATAATAAATTAGAATGTCAATTGGTAGAACAAATTTAAGGAATCACAACTTATTTATAAGCTTAAAACCATACTTTTTGTATTCTTTTTGTAAGAAGTTGTTGATTTTCAATGATAGAAAACAGCCTTGACATTATTTCTATGCATCAATGGTATTGAAAGACGTAATGACATGCACTAATGGCACAAACCCAATGCTTTCAATGTACATTGATATGAAATCAAATTTTGAAATGGGTGTTGCTTATTCAAGAAGTCTATTTAATGTTAAATTGTCACTTGAGTTTCATAATAACACTTATTTGAAAATTGAAATGTTTTGATTCACATCAAAGAAACACTCAAACGAGTCTATTTTTAGTTGATTATTAACCTACTAAGAACAAGATCTTAAAATAATTTGTAAAAACATAATTTTATTATTAAAAGTTGAAGTGGATAATAGTTGTGTGTTAATTTCGATTTTGATTATTTTGATTATTTTCACATGAAATCTTCATGGGTTTTAATCACAATTGACTAGAAGTTTTCAAGCTTTTAATACAACATTATATGTGATTCTGTTGTTGGTTTGATTTGATTACAATTTATTCTTTTTCTTTCTCATTTTATATAATATCAATTACAATTTCTATGAAATATAATCAGTATTCTTCAAAAACAATTTTTTGTGGTTAGAAGTGTCACGTCTTTAGTTATTGAGTACAAGATCTACATTATAATTAGTGAAGGTGACTTTGGCATTTAAAAAACTTGTATTTTGAATGAATGTTATGTTTAATGGAAAACTGGATATAGCCTTGGATATTAATTATTTCCACACGCTTCAAAAAATCCAACATAATTGGTACAGAATGTTGGCACACACAATCATTGATTTCAAAAGTAGCTTTTGTTGAAGCTCTGTAAGGTTTTGTAAAAAGTTGCGGGTTGTATGCCAAATTGCTAATTGAGCATCAAAATTATGGCTGAAATGTCTCACATTTGTATGAAGTCTTTCAAACACCTAACAATCCACTGAGCACCCCGTGACTCTAGCCCTAATTAGAATCCATCAATATACAGTATACTTTTTAAGTCATGCAAGAGAGTTCTAATTCCAATTGCCTGAAGTACCAGTGCAGTTGCAGTGGCTCTGCAACTACAATTTGAAGTTTCCTTCTGTTTTTCTCAGTTGCATAGATCTATGCCACCTAGCATTCCATCACATCAATAGACATGCTCATTGTACACGAAGTGGGCCTCATGGGTTGATGCTTTTTGAGCTCCTTCAACTGTAGCTCTCAGTCACATATTCTTTTTACACAAGAAAGTGGTTTTATCCATTGAAAGGAGAAGTCGATGTGTGTGGGCGTCGAGTGAGACGTTGTGGGGTGTGCTGTGTTCACTCCATGACGAACAAACTGTCTTCTTTGTCTGAATCCGATGAATTGCAAATAAATGAATAACAAAATTTGGGCCCGGATGCAGTTTGCAGAGCCACAGGATAACTATCTGAATGTGTTCAGTTCTTGTATTAATTGCATCGTATAGCGAGTGATTAACCCTCAAGATGGTGTAACAACTCCATGGGCGTCCTGGAGGTGACTGCCGTGTGACTGCCGTGTGAGTTGTTCAACTATCTGTGGCAAAACACGTTGAAACTCATTTTTCAACTTCACAGCACTTAGCGGCACCACATCGGTATCAGTATGCAGCATTAACGTGTTAGTGATTTCGAGAATGCTGCAAGCGCATCAACATCATCACGGAAAACTAAGTGACGCTTAAAAGGTGATTCAAAAGCTACCAGATGTCTAAAATTCACTGTGAACTGCAGGTTTGGAAAGTTCACATGGGCGTCCTGGAGGTGACTGCCGTGTGACTAGGTTCTGAGCTTTTTCTGTTAGTTGAGACGTAATTACAAGCCACACTATGGAGTTTAAAGTCACGCCGTATTGAGCAATGCGGTTGCATCTGTTACTCAGTGCTTCTATGTTAGGTGCTGCCCAAGCAAAACAATCACGCAAAACATTGGCCATCTTTGGGATGATCCGAATATTATTCCATCCCACACAACTCACGTGGAGATCAAAGACGTGCGAGAACACCAAGTCATCTTATCTCCTCTCTTATCAAACCAAGACCCCAGGGGTGAAGAATAGGTGAAAGCTCACACCGAGATTGAGGATCCTCCTCTGCATCTTTGTTGACCAGCTCCACTTTGCAACAGTGCCCACATGTTACACAAAGTTTACCGCTTCAAAACACTGCAACTTCAAGAGACAATGTTCCACTTCAAATTCTTGACAAATACAATCAAATTGTTGCGTGGAAGAGGGTCCAGCGCCCAGAAGAATCTCGTCTTGTCATCGTTTATTTTCTCGATTACTTGTACCAGAAAGAGGTAAGGTTTAGATCATGACTACTGCTTTAGATTAATCCTGGACGACCTCTATGTATTTGCTTCCATCATACAGAGATTGCAGAAGCCTAATGGCATACACTCCAGCCTCTAAGTCTGAGGATGTAGTCACACGTGCTATGCGTAGTCGAAAAAGCTCAACAGATTTGCAAAGCTTTAGAGATCATTGTAAACAACACCCTCAAAAACGTGAACCCTAGAAGAATATGAGAAAAACGTGAACCCTAGAGGAACTTTAGGAGTTCGCAGTTCCTGCATATGGAATTCATGACGCAATTAAGTAATCCATTCGCACACTCCAAATGACCCAAGAGTACGAGTGAAGTTGGAATGAAAATATCATGTAAGTTTACTGATCCGTGCAGAACTTTGGCAATGCACCGAGGGTGGAATTATGAATGAGGACATCTTGAGCCGTTCGGGAATAAACATATAAAATTCATGAAACAGATACGGCTTATTTGGTGCTAATAATACCCGACTGTGGAACAAGAAGAGACTGAGTGTTTCAGATTTGTGTGTTCTTAGCGGAGCAGAAAGTTACAGCAGCTCAACGCAATGATATCCACAGGGAGTGGCTACAGTTGCTCTTTTAAATTTCTTCCAGAAATTTCAGGCGTTTGAGTAATTAAAGAATGCTGTACTCTCATGCTGGACATCATACCAGTCCGATAGAGATCGGGTGAAAGTAAGGGTGTAAATACCATGTAGAGCCGTAATTACATGATCCTGGTGGCCCAGGAAGGAAATATTTGTCGACTAAGAACACCTTCGGCACACTAACATTTAGTTTCTCTGATTACTTCTGCTTCGCTAATTAAATCTCTGACAGTGTCTGGAGATCTCGCTCACGGCGGTGCAGCTCCTTCAGCCTCAACAAATCTTCTACAACCACGCATCACCTCCTCCTGCAATCATCGCCTCTATTAAGACACAACACTGCAAATACCACTCACGGAATGCCCATGCAGGCCATTTGCTTAAACCCAAACAATGTTGACTGTCTGTGTGTTGAAACCAGCCAAATTACCAAGCACTGAGGACTGCATACCTGGATAAAGAGTGCCTCCAAAAGCTACGATGGCCCTCGTTATCGATAGACTCAATCTTCTGCAGCTACTTCTCAGCTGCTTCTTTCATCGTGCAAACCAATTCGTCCTGAGCCTGCAGTAGCTTCGACTGAGAATCATTCAAATGCATCAAATACTCGCTGTGCCGAAAATCGAAAACTTCAAGCCAGTGAGAATCCATACATTCCTGTGATTAAACCCCATCCACCATGCTTTAGATCGGATACACCAACATGCTAACAACATTTGGCGACATAGCAAAGGCAAAGGCGCTCGAAACTTCCCGCCTTACATTTGTCAGTCTCAACACAAAATACCTGTAAGGGACCTGTGCAAACGTGAAAGGTGCAAACTGTGCTGGAGAATGCACGCACCATGACATAGAGACGAAATTAGAGCTACAAAAAACAGGCCGTTAAGTTGAGAGCTCGAAAGTATCAATATATAGCAGTCACATCGATACTGGCATCCGACAGGATCTAACTGATACTAACACTGAATCAAATAAATATGAACAATCAAACTTGAACAAATGCTGACTTTCTCATCCTGTAAACTTTCCGAAATTTTAGGGGAATGCAAACAACCGGGCTTCGACGAATGTCAACGAACTGATAAGCTGAGATCTAATTTAGATCCAACGTCCTCGAGGACCTACTACATATCAAATTGAGCTAAGAAATTATTGTGGCATGTATAATCAGATTTCACTCGTCAAACTGCCCTTTATTATTAACCACACGAGAATCAACCACATCTACTTTCGGAAACCCTGTCCCACATAATGATCCCGCATCCGGAGCTTTCAGATCACTGTATCATCCATCGAACCAAACTTATAACTTCTAAGAAACGCTAACAAAGAGTCTCTAATGTTGAACAATGCCCTAAAATAGGAGTGCAATTATAAGTAATGAAAACACATTGCGAAGGCACAGTGGCAGTACATATTTAGAAGAAACTGAACTCTTGCTAGGTCTCTTTTGCTTCCTGGTGGATGAACTGCACCATCTGCTGGACCTGCTTCGAGACCTCCATGTCTTTCATCTTGCCTGATTTTCTCGAACCCCAAACCGAAATCTTAGCTCCAAACCACAATTCGAAATTACAATGGCGCGCGGGATAGCTTGTCCACGCATACTCAAGAAATCTCAGGGATTCCTCACAGAATATTGTCCCAAAAAAGGAAAACCTTATTTCGGGCACAAGGAACAGTGGCAAAGGTCTGATACAAGGGCTCCAGGCAACTTCATCATAGTGCCGTTGTGCCTAATGTGTTAAAACTAAACATCTGTGTTTTTGTCGATTCTTGCCAGCCGGTTCAGGGCCAGCCCCGCGCGCCTTCGCAGGCTCGGCAAATAATCCATGAGCAAATGTGCGTCGTTTGTTGAGAGCAGGAATCACTTGCTGAGGTTGCAATGTCGATCCTAGTATTTTATCGTACACCATGCCTTCTCCTAATTCTAAAACTCCAGCTTCCAAGTTGCCTTGCACACGTCTCCTTTCAACTGCAATTTATTCTCTCGCTCCTTAAAGCACAATTACTTGGTACTACAGCTTTTCCTTCCCTGTTGTGTATCGAACAATCCTGCTCATTGTAAATTTCTAAAGCTTTGCATATCCTGCAATAAACATGGTGCTTCTAAGCTGCATTTGCCAAAACAACTGCACTAATATTTTTTTCCAAAAAACGGACTCACTTCCGAGCCCTTTTCAAAAACTTTTACCCAACAGCAATGGTGGGTAAGTTTGTACAATCAAAAGTAATTATAACAGTGTTTAGAGGTAAGCTGTGTCCATTGGCATAAAACCTTGTGAAATATATTGATTGCAAATTGAAATAAACACCAATGTGTCACTTTACAAACATTCCACAACCATATTCAGTTGTGTCCTTTGGGGAAGAGGAATCAGGGGCAACATCAAAGTCTTGAGATGTTTTTTCGGAAACGCAACTCGAACTGTGCCAAGCAAAGATGAAGGGAATGTTGGGGCCTCATGCCCAATCTTCTAACCCTAACGGAAGCTTAAAGTACAAGCTCTAAGCAATGATGAGTACGATATGCCATTTCCCAAAGGAATTACCCGCAATATCTCACTGATCTCCGAAGAGCAGGCACCGCATCCTCACAGTACATGTAGCAATCTCTGTGAACCACTAATCTCAGAAAGCTTCAAGAAGTGTCTCTACATGTGATATTCCTGCGCAGTTTTCCTGTGTATGTCTTTGTTCTCGTGGAGGGAGCCTGGACTGGATTGTGGCATGTGGTGGGGTTTGGGGAAGGAAGAAGTCACAGCAAGTTAGTGAGAGCTGGGGTTGTGGTTGGATGTCGGAAGGTGTGTGATATAAGATTGACTGCGCGTCTGGAAGGAGGGCGGAAGAGAATCTGTGGAGTTGAGTCAACCTGAAGTGGCAACTCGTGAAGAACCAGTATCTGGTGATTGGTAAGGTAAAGTTGAGAGTTTAAAGAGTGGGGATCGTGACGTGTGAGCGAGGAGTGTACGTAGCTGTGAGACGACAGGTGCAGTCGCTAGAATTCGTGTTTCCAGTTAGGTATATCTATTTGTATTAGTTTGGCTCCCTGTCTTGGGAAGGATCGGAGAGAATTCGTCTTTCCGGTGCATTGTGAGGATCATTGGAGAGGCCGGCTATGTGAAGTTGCGTGTCTGGAGTTGGTTTTTGATGCTTTTCGGAATCCATAATTAGGTTTGTGGGGCTGTGGTTACCTTATTTGAAAAGCCCTCCAATTGACACGTTTTCCCTCGGTTTCTGGAGAAAGATAGTTTTTTTTCTCTACAGAGAAAGAATTTGCTTCTGTGGGAGGAGCAGGCCTTACTGATTTTAGGTTTACAAAGAAGTGCGGCTCATTGTCAGAAGGAATTGAGATGATAATGTAGGACTGCATTAAGGTCGGAGATTACGTCATTTGCAAGGCATCTCTAGGTGTGCAGAAGAAAGCAGGCGCTGTGGGAATACATCTGGGCGGAAGGTTATGAACGGGGAGCAGATAGTGGGGACTAGGGTTGGATCAAGTGCAGAGGAGAAGGGAGTATGACAATTAGGTTATTCCTTCGGTGACCCAGGATACTCGGTAAAAGCGTCTCATTTCCAGGCCAGCACGGTTTATTTGAGTTCTTAACTAGCTGGCAAGATGGACCTGACCTCCATTCAAGAGGTATTCGATCGTGTGGCTAAGAAACAGAAGCTGTGTTGCTCCAAGACACAAGAGGTAATTGACCGAACACTTCACGAATTCGAGGCAGCTGTAGAACATTTGGATGTGACTGTAGATCGCTCACCTGAATTTCGCAAAGGAATACTCACGGACCTTCAACTAAAATTGACCGAAATTGCTCCCGTCAACCAGGTAAGCAAGTGCTTTGTGTTTCTTGATCTTCATCTTTAGCAGTCATGTCAGTAGTTTTATGTTCAATGGTATTAAAGCATTTTCTTGTGTAGAATGTCAAGCGTGTTTTGATTTACTTTATTGCAACAGAGGAACCTAACTTCTTAGATTTACAGGTAGGAGCTTTACAGAAAGAGCTCAACACAACTGTTAGCAAATATGGAAAAATGGTGGACAAGGCTTTCAACCCAGACATTGCCAAAGCGTACAGAGAGGTTGAATCTGATAGCCATTTGATCAACCAAATCATAGTTCAGCATTTCTATCGCATGGGGCTGTTTGAATCAGGCGATTGCTTTGCCAAGGAATCACAAGAACCTAATGCAGCTGCAGCGTTGAAGGTTCCCTTCTATGAAATGTATCAAAATTTGGGGCATCTTCGCGAGAAGAATGTGGAGCCTGCGCTGAGTTGGGCAAGGAGGAATCGACAGGCCTTGGAGGCCAAGGTACACGGCAACATTGCGATCTAATGTGCTTCTGTCAATGCATGTCCTCTAGTCCCATTGCGAGATGAATATGCAGATTGGTCTTCATATGAAACGTTGTTGTGTTGCTGGTAGATGGACAATCGATGACGATACTCCTTTCTTTTCTGTAGGGTTTTGTTAGCCAGCCCCTCATCGAAGAATTCCTCGGTCATTGTACTTACATGCATGATCGTGCAGGGATCTTCATTGGAGTTTCGATTGCATCAACTACAGTTTCTTCACGTGCTTAGGACCAAAGGGCGCATTGAAGCGCTGGAGTATGCGAAACTGAACTTCACTCCTTTTGCTGCTGAGCACATGTCCGACATCCAAAGGCTGATGGCTTGTCTCCTTTGGGCTAACCGATTGGAATGCTCTCCATACAAAGACCTACTCTCTCCATCTCAGTGGGATAAAGTTGCCTTGGAGTTCACAAGGGAGTCCTGCAATCTCTTGGGTCAGCCATACGAAAGTCCACTCTACGTGACTCTTTCCGCCGGATCCCAAGCCTTGTCGTCCCTGCTGAAGCTCGCAACTGTCATGTCTTCCAAGAAACAGGTGCGTTCCTACCAATTCTCTTCTTATTTCTATCGTTCTTTGTTCAGGTGCACTCGTTTATTGCTTGCATATACTCATGTTGTTTTGTGCACTTTGTTTATGGGATTTCTTGTATGTGTTTTCTATATGTTATGATATTTGTTCTAGAATTGATAATCTTATTGTGGAGTTGATACAGGAATGGGCAGCTCTGAAACAGATGCCAGTCGAAATCGAGCTAGATAATTCATTTCAGTTCCACTCAGTGTTCGCGTGCCCTGTTTCGCGAGAGCAGAGCACAGCCGACAACCCTCCAATGCTTATGCGCTGCGGCCACGTTCTTTGCAAACAGTCTATCCAAAAGCTTACCAAAAGCAATTCAAGAATGTTCAAGTGCCCCTATTGCCCTTTCGAGACGTCAGCCAGCCAATGTCGGCAAATCTACTTCTGATGAGAAGGCTAGAATGAGCACTAAATATTGTGTTGAGGTGCTCTAGTACATTTGTTGCAAAGAAGGGGGTGATAGGCGAGGTTCAAGAATGCCAGTAGTTGAATCGTTGTACAGAAGTTCGTAAGGATCCATTGCAAGCTTAGCAGTTGTATGGTAGATATTGAGCTCTGATGAATCTTGATTGATGCACAATGTGTTCAGTGGATATGAAATGCCTCATTTGATTAGTCAATCACAGAGCTGACAAATGAATCAGAATTGCTGTGTACCAGTTTAAATTAAGCAGTTGAAAAAATGTGTACAGATTTGTATATCACATGCACTCACAAACATTAAGCATTTTTTCTATCATTAAACAGTAAGTATTGCGACAATTAGCGCAAATACTTCCGCTTGTGGAAATGGCCTGCTATATTGAAACTGATATCATTCTTCAAATTGCTACATGAGTGAGAGCTTCATTGTACTGGATTTGTGTCAATGATAAGGAGAGTGATGGACGCGCAAGCTATTGGAGTCCAAGTGCAAAGAATCCAGTATTACCTGCTACACAAACAGGCTTCAACAATGATCGTCGCTGCGACTGAGGCACTTTCGTGAATCCAACTTCAATCCAGCATGAAGTAGTTACTAAATTGCAACACGTCTTTAGAATTGGATTGGTGTGGAACAATAGGGTTTGTAAATGCTTCAACTGCTTCTAGGACCTCCATGGTGAAGAACTAAAGTTGAAACATGTGCCGGTGTCAAGGAGATTCACAGGTGATAAATGTTTTTGCAAACTACCCGGTTGTGACCGTAGATGTGGATGTGTTAAAACTAGTCCCGGAATCAAGCTTTGCCTGAATACGAACCAGATGTTCCACCACAATCCTAGCAACAACCTCTTGAGCATAGTTCGCTACCATGTCCAACCTCGCGACTTTTCCCTTCCGCTTCGCTTCCTCTGGATTCACAACAACATGGCGCATCAACAACTTCAAGTCTGTGGTCGACGGTTCTGCCCACAGGTGTCCCTTAAAGGGCCCATCCAGAACCTCAGCCATGCGCTCTACCCGCAGGGGATAGCTATTGAGCTCTGTCATGTACTCAGTCATACCTGACCAGTTTGTTGCTATCACGGGCAATTCCATCGCCATGGCTTCCACATGGGGCCGGCCCCAACCTTCCCCTCTAGACGGGAGGACGAAGCAGTCAGCAGCTGCATAGAGAGCAGGAAGCTGGGACTGTGCAATGTGCTGATCATGCAAGTAAACGTTCGGCCAGCCACTCGGAGGCTTTGGGATTGAATGCGAGGAGACAAACTCAGTAATAACAGTTCCAAAATCATGGTTAGTATGATAGGGATTAGTGAGGAGATAAAGCGCTACGTTGTCGTCTGCTGAAAATTCCTGCAGATATGCTGAGAGCAGGATGTCCCAGCCCTTGCGGTATTCCCACTTGAAGATGCTAAGAAACACAAAAGGTTTTGATGGGGAATTAGGGGTTGAACCAAAGAGACGGTTGCTTGTTAGTAGTTTGAGAGGTTGGAGGTGGGCAGGATTGAAAAAGACAGTGTCCACAGGCTGCACTACCTTGAGCAGCTTCTCTTCCGCAACGCCAGCCCGAATGAAGGAGTCGACATGGAACTGGGTGGGAACCCAAACCTCGTCCATTCTGTTGCAACGGCGGACGTGATCAGGTGTGACGCCATCTGTCTCGAACATGGTGCGGCCGATGATGTAGAGAGGGTCATCGTATCCTGTAGGAGGGCATGGGGGCGTTAAGTAAAGGGGAGGATACCATGCCCCTGGTTCACTGTGACACACAACCACGGCGCCAGCCAAGTCGATGGGAACTGAGGTGAGAGAGAAGAGAGATTGGCGTGTCGCAGATGGTAAACCCTTCCAGAAGTTGAGGTTTTCAGCGTCTGCATAATGACTGATGCCAAGCTTTGGAACTTTAGAGGTGCCCTTGGAGCCAGCATTCACGGCAGTTACGTACGAGATTGCTTCCGAGCAATATCCACCTCCTGAGAAAAATGGCGCCATCCACAGCAAAGAATACCTGACAGCATTGTGATCGCCACTGGCCCTGTTCTGCGAATGTTTGCTCTGAATTGTCCACCTCGAAGCCACAGCTGAGAAGTAGTGATCCAACCGTGTTAATGCACGCTCAACAAAGAAGGGGTTTTTCTCAAGCAGGTTAGGTACTGCTGCACTCAAAGCCAAAACAAATATGCACAAGCAGATGGAGGGTTTCCACATCTGTTTAAGCACACCGTGTCCAGTCTTCGGGGATGCCTTAAGCTGCAAAGTAAATTCCTCTTTCTTTTCCGACTTCGGGCACGTTGAATCTTCGCTAGCTGCAGGCGTGCTATCGCGATTATCGATTGAAGAACTCCTAGAATTTGAAGACGTTTCCACACCAACATGCTCGCCAATATACATAGTCGCCAACAAGTGTAGTAGGATAAGTGTTCAAGAAATTAATGCGCTCACAGAATTCCCATCTTCCGCTTCGCCCACCGGTAACACGAGATGTTCGCACCTTTTTTACGTGTGCATCCCTGCAATTGACCCGTGCTTGTCAAAAGCAAACAAGCTGCGTTACGAGTTTCATCTTCAATTGCTAACCCTAAGTGATTAAAGACATTTGCCACACAACTCATTACCGCAAAACGGGATGGTCCTTCCCATGAACCAACCACAAGTCAGAGCTGTTAATACGAACAGGCAGGAAACCAAATTCGGGCGACAATGTAATCGAAGAAAAACACAATTCACAAGTGTTCCATCACGAGGCATGCATGACAACATCTGCGCGTGAGCAGAAGCGCGCTCGTCTACTCACAACCCATGAATGGGGTTGGCTACAAATTCCTAGTCATTAAGCCTTGCACCTCATCCTAAAGATATGACAAACTGGGGTCTTCTCGAAAACTTCTCTACCTCTGCAACTTCGCACTTGAACGGAAGATGACGCTGAACACAACTCCCTTCGAAAAGGTCTCGCTGCAGCATTATTCACTCCAGATGCTCAAAACCCACTTCTAACTAGTCAGCTCACAATTAGGTGTGGGATTTTTAAGTGCATGAAGTTGCCAAGTTGACGCCGAATTGAACAGTATTGTCCACAGCGATCGAGAACGAACTTAACCGACGGATTGCTTCACCAATCCTCGTCAACTAATTTCTAGAACCTTCCATGCAAGTCCCCCACTAAACCCTAATCTAAGGCTTGTGTGATTAGAGCCACAGATTGTGTGTGTAGTATTTTCATAACGATTTCGCAGAGCTGGTACCCAGCAAGCACTCTGATCTTTATACTTCATCAGTCCTTCATCGTCAATGCGTGTGTGCAGACATAGATGATGTCGTGTGAACACTTACGGACTCTCAACTATTTGTTGGAAGCACTTGCTAACTAATTTTCAACTAACTGTTAGGAGTCCCTAAAATATTAGTAAGAGGGGTGCACAGTTAAGGGTTTGGGATTTCTTTTAAAGAAAAAACCTAAAATTGTTTATGAGTGATGTTGTGCACCATTGCATTGTGTGCATACCACATCGTATTGTCTAGAATCTACCTAAACTATGCTTGTATTGACATACTCACATGAATAAATATGTATCTCTTAAGGGGGGGTGGCATCGTTGACAAACACAACACCAATTCAAGCTTGCTTTGAGTTATATCTCAATCCTGTCAGAATTAGAAAATAGGTGGAACAATTACACACATACATCATCAAAACAAAAAATATAAGTAGCTCCAAGTACACACAAGTTTCCAACAAAGCCAAGGCCAGTTAAGTCTCTTTTTTTGATAAATAAGTGGAGAAAACCCCAATGGAGTACAAAAACTCCATAACAAATACAATAAGTCAAGCCACATATAAACACTATAAAAGTGTGTTAATCTACAATGAGAGAAGCTAAACATTCAAACTCTTCCTTTGAAGGCTCAACTTGTAAAAAGATGAGCCTTCTTAGGATTTTGGAGTACTTAAACACACTAGGACTTGAATAGGAAGTGAAGGACCTCCAAGATCCACTTCCAAGACCCCTTCTAAGACTCAAGTCTTACACTTATGGTGGCTCCATGCCTCATGATACATCCTAGTGTACATCACTACATTCTTGACAGCAATTTGAGAGAATTTAGAGTTTATTAGATTGTTTCAATGCAAGAAGCTGGTTGTTTCATAAGTGGCTTTTCTTTTGTGTTTGTTTTCTTGAAAAAAAAAAAAAAAAATTAAATGTATTTTGATTATAGGTGTGGTTTACTTTGAAGACAAATTCTTTAATCAATGTTTGAATAATTATTGATGATACTAGACTATTTTAATAAAAGTGATCAATTCATGAAATTAATAGCTTGTAATAATTGGTCATTAAATGTCGTAAAATTTGAGTATACAAGTATATTATTATAAATATAAAGTTGAACATATTCATCTATATATTAGATATAGTAGGAAGTAATGTACATAAAACATATGATTTTTGAAAATTGATAGATTTTTTATATTTATGCTGGAAATTATTAGAAAAAATATTATTACACTAATTAATGAAATTATTTTGAATAAGCTTGATATAACAACAAAAAAAGAAAGAAAAGAAAATAATTATATATGTACATATATAGTCTCCTTCCAAGTACATCTTTATTTGCATATATTAGTTTAATTTTGATTCTATGGTCTATGAATCATTCATCTTTGTTTTGATTTTTGATTTTGATTTTTTGAGATTAAACTTGTAAAGAAAAAAAGACTTTTTTTAATCTTTAAATTATACTTGATTATATTAAAATTAATAGAAAAATTTGTCTTTAATATTTATAAAAGAAAAATAATCATAAAAAAATTATGAGAATAATTACAAAAGAAATAAATAATTTATAATACTCTATTTCAACTTTTGATATATACATCACTATTTTAAAAATTAGGGATTGATATCAAGTGAGATGATGTTACATTTATCAATCAATTTCTTTATGAGCTACAAAATCATATAAAGAAATTATAGTTCAATTTGCTTGAACCTCAAACTTTGAATCAAGCTAATAATTTTGCTGTCAAATGAAATAACTGAACTTTTGAATTTCAATAATAATAATAATAATAATAAAATTATATGTTTGCACTTCAGTGCTTTAATACTTCTATTGCAAGTACTTGTACTAGTTATAATATATATTTCCAAATATAGAAGTCATGAAGAATGATACTATCTACTTCAAATCTCTTATTGCACAAGAAAAAACATTCAACATCAACAAGAAGGATTATACTTTTGTTTTAGGAAATCAGATCATATTACTTACTATTGTCCAAAGAAATAGCAAAATTACAAGACATGTATACAATTCCTAAAGAAGACAATACATTGAATGAGAAGTTTGTTTAACAACATCAAGAATAATGAAATTGGATTCTTGTATAATATTATCTTATAAAAACCTTGTATTACCTTTTTAATAATTTTCTTGCTTTATAATATAAGTCTATTTAATATTTTAAAACCACATTGTTTCTAATATTGTTCTTTTAAAAGTTTAGTACCTCTATTTGTTTTTTTGATAATAATTTGCTAAGTATCTTAAGATATCACAAGAAAAACAACCAAATATGTACATGTAGAAATTATAGATAAAAAATCTTTATCTTCAGGAGATATTATCTTTAAAATTATACCAATAAAAGTAATTATAAAATATTACAAAAGTCTAGTGGTATCTAATTTTATAAATTTTTTAATCACTATCATTATTTAAGATTTATTTTATTTAAAAAAATATAATCTTTAAATAGATTAAATACCTTATAGTCTTGAATTTTATCTTATTTCATTTAACTAAAAAACAAAAGAAAAATTTTGACTTAAATCTAGAAAAATAAAACATGTATTTGTAGGAGATAGACCATTTATAAAGTCCACAAAAGAAGATTCATTTTTTATTTATACAACATCATGTATTTATTTAAAAAGAGATAGTAGATTCTTAAAGCAATATAAGAAACATCAATATATATATATATATATATATATATATATATAATCAAAACATCAATCTTATGATTATGCAATTGGCCTTCAAAAAACATTTAATTCTCTTTTGGACCAATTTATAATTTGTTGCAAAATTATCTTACTACTTTGAAGGGATATATTGCAAATCTTGCAAAGAAGTTAATTTAATATTCAAATTTCTTATAGGTACACCAATTCTTTTTGTGAAAAAAAAAAGATGGATTCTTACAAATGTATAATATTATTGTAGAGTCAATACATTGAATATTAGGAATTTTCTACCTTTTCTTCTAATACTGAGGCTTCTTAATCAACTAAATGAAGCTAAGATCTAATTAAGAAAAATCAATGAAGAGTCTACAATTTGGTACATATTAAAGAAGATGATTAATAAAAGAATATATCTCAAATTAAATATGGCCGTTTTAAATATGATATCTTGTCTTTTGGCCTTTTAAATGCTTTAATTACTTTCTAACATTTAATAAGCAATATTTTTATAAATTTTTATAGAATTTTATTATGTTTTATTTAAATCACATTGCCATCTATTCCAAGAACGTATAAAAACATGATATTTGCTTTGTGCTAAAAAAACTTAGAAATGCAAGATCATATGCCAAGATAGAAAAACATGTATTTTTTACAATTCAAATGAAATTTTGGAGCATATCATTTCAAATAATAGTTTAATATTGGATTCTAAGAAAGTAGAGACTATGATGGATTATTAAATAACAAGACTTATTAAATAATTTATTTATATATTCTTATCTTACACCAAAAGAAGAGAATGTTTCATATAATAAAAAAATGCATTATTCTTTTAAAACCAAAGCAATTATATCTTTGATCTATTAAGCAAAAATTTCAATTGATTTTTTTATGAAGTTTATTTAAATATATTAAAAATACCTCTTATTTTTATGTTAAAAATGAACTTTATAATTATTTAAAAATATTTGAGCCCAAAAAAAAAAAATCTTTATTATAAATGACAATTATATATTCTAAAAGATCAAGCACAATTATATATAATTTAAGCACAATACGAATTTCTACAAACATGGAATTTTGGATATAATAAAATCTTGTAGCATATTTTAAGAGATTTTTGGTTGTTATAAATGTGAAAATGTATCAAAATATTTATTAAATCTTATAGCACATATTCTTAAGCATAGAATCTACATCATCAATTTTTAGACTTCTTCACCTTTTATCTATTTTAAAGCAATGTTAGTCATATATATTAATGAACTTCATTATAGTTCTTCAAATTTCAAATTCTAAAGATTGTATTCATATGATGATGGATTGGATAATTAAAATGGTACATTTCTATTGTGTATAAAAAATATTACTATTAAAGAAAGAAAGAAAGAAATATATATATATATATATATATATATATAATTGATAATATTTATTAATACTATAGGCTTTGAAGTGATATTTTATTTAATAAAAAAATTCCAATTTATACCAAGATTTTGAATTTTTTGAATTTATAAAAGATTGATATTAAGTTATCTTTAGCTTTTGATCCTAATATAATGAATAAATATAGTGTAAAAATTAAGTATTAAAATAATACTTTTACTATTTATTATTATAAAAAAAAGTTAAACAATTTTCTTATTATCAGCAAAAATTTTATACAATAATATCATACATATTATTATTTTTTATTTTATTCTATAATAAATATTATTATCTATAATTTAATATTTTTTACTTTTAATAGTTGAAATTCTATAAATAGAATACTTGGTAAATAGAATAGTAGAATTTTATAAAAAATAGATATAAAACTAAAGGAAGCTTAAGAATAAGAAAAAATTAATACAAAAATTTATAAAAAAGAACAATCTCTATTAAAAGTTTATAATAAAGTATGGTTATTCTATCATAATATTATTATTAATTAACTTTGTGACAAGTTGGATTATTAAAATCCTAATTTATTTATTATCTAAGAAAAAAATTTACCATGTATTTTATGTATCTTTTACTAGCCTTATACTACAATCAATATATTGAGAAGAAAATAACTACCACCATCTTGTATTCAAATAGATAACCAAGAGTTTGAAGTAGAAGAAATTTTAGATTTAAGGTGGTACCAAAGATAAATTGGAATATCTTGTATATTGGTATAAATATGATATTATTGTACATACATAAGAGCCATGTGAAAATCTTGCAAATGCATCAAATTTTATTATTATTTATGATTATTATTTATTATTATTATTTATTATTATTATTATCCAGAACATATATTAAAATCAAAGACTAATTATAAATGCTTGGGCCACAATTTATGTAGTCTTTAGAAAGCTTCTACATGGTCTTTCTGTAGTCAATATATATAGAAACATGAGTGAGGCTATTTTCAATCTTGTCAATGCCTTTCTTGTATTTTGGACTTAATTCAATACTTTTAAGCTTCTTTGTGTTTGACAACAATCATTCTAATTCTTTTCTATCTTATATTTATATCTTTTCTCAATACATTCTTTTTTGTTTAATAATACATTATGTATATTTTTAAATTTTTTATCTAGAATCATGTCTTTGACATTAATATGCTATTCATGCAAAATTATATACAAATTTGCTAAGGTTATTTGATAAATTAAAATCCAATTCAATTTTTCATCTTTATAATCTAAAAGATTTATATAATTAAAAAATGTATATGTATAATAATAATAAATACATCAAAATAATTTAAAGTTTATAAAATTAAATAAAAAAATTATATAAAGCCTTTGTGCCTTAACAACATAAAACATATGTTCTAAATATATTATTATAGAGTAATTAGTAAATATTCTTGCAATAATTCAATACCTTATGAATCATTGAATTATATATATTCTTTTTAAATATTTATATGGTACTAAATGAATCTTTTGTCTAACTTTGTTTTTTGTTTTACTTCAATCACTTTTAACAAAGAATTTGTTTATAAGATTAATGTAGAACAAATATTTTAACATAAAATGCTATGTTTATATATGTATATTTTTTTAAATTTTATTGTACTAAGATTGCTTAGAAAATAGTCATATTATTTATTTTTATTTAAATATTTTTTTGGTCTACAAAAAAAAATAAAGAACTAAGTTATATCATAATTTTTTAAATATAATAAGTAATTCTTATATAAAGTTTAATAATAAGAATCTAAATTTTATATCTAATAAATACAAACTTATTATTTACACATTTTATTACATTTTATTATGTGTAGTTAAATATATATGGCAGTTGAAGTCACATATAAAATGATGTTGCAAGTAACATTTATGTAATGTGATAAAGTTTTTCGGTTAAATGCAAGAATGCATTATTTTTTTTTCAAAAAAAAATACTAATATATTGTATAATCAAACATGCTTTTGTTTTTGAATATATACATCATATCATGATACATGGACTCAATACTTTAATAAGGAATTGATGTGTGTGTATAAATATATGATCACATATACACATATATTTTTTGATCAAGAATTTCTTTGTCAAAAACGCCCTTTGCGTCTATCTCAGTAATGCATGCATTGTATTGTCTAAACATCCAACAAACCCCATTAACTCGGTCAGCTTCCAAAACTTTCTTCCCTCTTTGTCATGTAGAAAAAGCTCAGAACTACGGTTAACAGACGGAAAAGTATACAGTAAACGAAAAAGTAAAATAAGACGAAAAAGTGAAAATTCAACGAAAACGTGAAGATGCTGAAGGACGAAGATGTACATTCATCCATGGAAGGGGAGCTGAGCAGACCAGAGCAGAGGCGCCAGGGACTGGATTGTTGCTGAGCACCCTTCACAGGATTCCCTTTAAAAAATTCATTTTGTTATCATGTCCTGCTTGAACCTTTAACTGTCGACGCCTTCGAGTGCGATTGCCACCACATCCGCTCTCGGCGCCATTCTGTGCTCACATCGTGTCGTCATTCAATCGCATTCTGCAAGGTGGGCTTCTGAATTGCGCTCTACATGTCCCCTTCAGAATGCATTTTTATGTTGCTGTCCTTCTGGGCCTATTCTTTTTCACTCTACTCGTCTCATTTGCTTGAGTTGTGATTTGCAACTCATTGAGCTGCCGTGTTAGCACTAGAATTGTGAGAATACCCCTTGGAATCGTGTCAGATTCTCACGCCAGATTTCGTTGCAGAGGGGGGAATTGCTCAAGATTATCGTTCGCCACGGAAATCAGTGGGTGGAGGTAAACCTGGGGTGAAGCCGTCGAATTTGGGGGTTCGGGAGGGGGAAATTGGGTGGCAATGTACGCCGCCTCGAGTAAGCTTAGCTCCTCGGGATGTCTGTTGAGTACGTTTTCATCGTATAGGAAATGGGTCCACCATTTCGCAGTTACTCTGCCCTTGCAGCAGCGCAAGAGCTTCCAGTCCAGCTGTGTAACGAGGGTTCCCCGCCGCTTTGTGGGCTTACCATGTTCCATATCACCACTGCGTGTTGTGCCGGCGCAGCTGACCTCCACGAGGCTCTTGGTAGTGGCATTGAATGACAAGCGTGGAAATGGCTCCACAAACACTGATGGTATGTCCCGTTTCAGCTGTATCAATTCCTCATTTATTTCGTGTATCTATTGCATCATTGATGCCGTGGTAAACATCCAAGTCTGTGACGGGTTTTATGGGGAGTACTTATCCCATTACATACGAAGTTCAGTAGGTTAGTTAGCAAGTTTTACTCTTTTGAGAAGATCTCAAACAGATCATACTTGCCTACTTATAATCCTACAAATGGACTGGGTTTGCATTTAATGGTATCTAATCTCATCAAGGAGATTAATCATTATATCCTGTTTCGTGTAGGAGCTGTAACGGGATATCAGCTCCCTCCAAAAGAGATAAGAGAGATAGTAGACGCACCGCCAATACCTGCTCTCTCATTTTCTCCAAAACGGGATGAGATTGTATTCTTGCAGCGACGATCGCTACCTCCCGTGGCTGAATTTGCAAAACCAGAGCTTAAGCTTGCAGGGATACGTATAGACCCTGATTACAATTCAGGGAGCAGGATGTAAGCTCTGTTTCTCTCTTCACCTTCGGCAGTCATAACTATGTGGCAATGCAGCTTATTGTGACATTGCTCTACTGGTTTTTCCGGTTACAGTGTTATTTTTGAACTTCGTGTTCTTGACCAAGTGGTTTGATAAGAAAAGTTGTGTACTAGTGTTTCATGGCGTTGGAGTTTATTGAATGAAAGATCTTATTGGTTCACTGGCATTTCGCACATGAATGAGGCGCTGTAGTAAATACAAATCTCAAATCTATATGGTTCAACGAGATATAATCCAGAATCTGAGAGTCAGTACCTTTAAAGGCTTGAGGTAATTGGGCATTGAAGAGTGGCTGATGAGTGCAGCGTGTGCGGTTGCGATAAAGCTTGTGTTCAGGTCCTTCTACACAGGAATCAGTATCCGTAAGTTGCTTGACGAAGGAATTCTAGGTCCGGAGCGTTCAGTTGACGGTCTTCCCGAAGATGCCAGAATTAACTTCGTGAGCTGGTAATGTTTGCTAATTCGGGGCTTTATTGATCTGCAAATTTGTCCTTGAAATTGCCACTAACATCGTGTTATTAATGTTCGGGATTCTAATGTAACTGATAACTGTCTACAAGTAAGGCTTTTGACTTGAAATTCATATAATTCTTTGTATTTCAAATGTATTGAGTTTGATTTGACCTTTGGGTTTCTGATGTTTTGTCGTGCTTTTTGAAGGTCACCAGACGGTCAACATTTAGCATTCAGTGTTCGTGGCGTTGAAGAGGTCTATTTCCCTCAGATCGAGCTTTCTTCTTGATTCTTTCATGCAAATTTTATTTGTTGCACGAAATCTCGATAGTTCGCAGTATTTGTCTTTACGTTGACCATGTTCTGAAGTGACTATGATCAGCTTTTGTTCAAGTGTCTGGGTGGGTTCATGATGATTTGTCAACTCAGTGATTTTCCATAGAGTTCGAGGGATTCTTATACTTTACACCACCCGAAATGAAGCTGAATTGTGATTGAAAATCGGTTTTAAGTTGAGATAGTTGTCAAGTTACGAATTCATTTTTATATAGACGGCATCAAGGCTTCATTTTAGCATCGATACTGGTCATGTTGCTCTGTAGAGCGAACCACCTAGTCTTAAAATTTAGATTTTTTCCACCTGTAGTCATTGGGACCTCCTAAAAGGATCAAGTTAACTCATCAACTTGTTGTAGTGAATTCAAACGTCGAGTGATTAAAGGAACTGCTTGTCGACTTTCTGTAAAATGTTCATTTGGCGGAGGCTATAAAAAAACATTATCAGCTGTATTCTGTACTAACAAATAGTCAACTTGCAATAAGCAAAGATGCGGTAGTGATGCTGTACATTACCCATCATCGAACACTGCTAACAACAGTTTCTTAGTTTTGCAGCATGTGCATATAGAGATACGTTGTGTAAATCATTATTTACTGTTTACATTTCTGGTCAGATATTGTTGTCCACTGCATTCATGACAGGAAGCTAACTATCGATGAATGCTTGATGATGTGCAGGAGAATGGCCCTCCCTCATTGCTGACTCTATGGATTGCAAACGTGAAGACAGGGAAAGCTCGAAGGCTTATTGGTCCCCCAGAACTTCATCTTAATTCCATCTTTGAGTCGTAAGTGGTATTTGTGCACAAAATTTAACTCTCTCGGTGCTCCGCTAGAAAGCTGGAAAGCTTTGCTCTGTATTCTTATGAATGTCTTTTGCATGGAGAGAATGCATATTAATGGACTAGAGAGGATCATTCAGTGAATGAGACAAATTAATTGGAGATGATCTTACGTTTAATACATATGTTTCGTCCGTTCTTCAGGTATTCTTGGGTTGACGATGAAACAATAGTAGTTAGCACTATTCCTGCCACACGTGGTGCTCCTCCTAAGAAGCCTCTGACTCCATCTGGTCCAAAAATCCAGTCAAATGAAGAGCAACTCGTCGTTCAAAATCGTACTTACCAAGATCTCTTGAAAGACAAGCATGATGAAGACCTCTTCGATTATTACACAACTGCACAGCTTGTATTAGTAACTCTAGATGGGAAAGCTCAGCCTATTGGGCAACCGGCTACTTACGTATCTGTGGAGGCATCACCTGACAGCAATTTTCTCCTTGTTGAATACCTTCATAGACCTTACTCATTTATTGTACCCTGCGGTCGATTTCCTAAAACAGTTGAGGTGTGGCGGAGGGACGGTGAATTTGTTAAGCAGATTTGCGATCTACCTCTTGCAGAAGATGTACCGATAGCTTCTAACAGTACACGAAAAGGCCGCCGAGGCATCAATTGGCGTTCGGATAAACCGGCGTCTTTATACTGGTGTGGGCTAACTTCCTTTACTGTTATCAAGATATGTTATAAGAGTAATTTAAAGATTGTAAAAGGAAAGATGTTGGTTGATGAATGATATCCAGGATTAATATGTAGGGAGTTTCTACATGTGTAGCTTGTTTTGAGATGTTTGAATTTTGTTGATGAGCTCGTAAGCAGGGCGGTTTGGTGGCTTGAGCTGTACACAAATGCCATGCCTATTTATGATGTTCTGTCATTCGTTTGGGGACATTCTTTTTCATCTATTTCTTGAAGAATTAAGACACAAGAATAAATTAATGTTTTTGAAGATTGAACACATTCTTTTGAAAAAAGGATTTCATTCTAGATTTCTTGAGGGTCAACAATGTTTCTGATACCTACGAGACGTGTATTTAAAATCAGGGTAGAAACACAAGATGGAGGTGATCCTAAAGTTGATGTATCTCCTCGTGACATTGTATACTCGGAACTTGCTGAAATTGTGGCCAACACCGAACCTCAAATTATAGCCAAGACAGATCTTCGATACGGGTAATTATCTAACCGAATTGTGTCTTAATAATTAGTTAGTGTGAGGTCCCACTTTCCACTACGAGCATGCTTTACTAAAACTAAGATACGGTTCAATAATATTTACTTTGCTACTGCGAGAAATATGCTATTGATTATCCATATTGATACCACCTGCACTTGATCATGAGTATTCAAAATGGTAGTCTTGCTTGGTTCCTTGTTTCCAGGTTGTAGGGCTGTTGGGTCTATTACGTACATCTTGTCTCCTTACATAAGATTTAACATATCCATGATTTCTTTGGAAAACAGAGGCATAGTTTGGGGCGATGAATCTTTGGCATTGGTTTACGAGTCGTGGTACAAGACCCGTCGTACTCGCACCTGGATTATTGCCCCAGGAACTACTAATTCAGAACCTCGCATTCTCTTTGATCGCTCATCAGAAGATGTGTATTCTGACCCTGGATCTCCAATGTTGCGTCGGACGGCTCTTGGAACTTACGTCCTTGCACAACTCAAAAACAGTGACGAAAAAAGATGTTTATTGTTGAATGGTAGTGGGGCCTCACCTGAAGGCTACGTTCCTTTTCTTGACGTCTTTGACACGTAAGTCACCCACGTACCCAAATGCTCGCGATTCTAAATACCCATCTCTTATGTCATGAATGAGTTTTTAATCAGATTACAAGTCAAATTCAGCTCATTGTTGTGGCCATCCTTAATGCTGTGGCGTTCTCCTGTGCTAAGGTGTATGTTCTGGACTGCTATTTTACAGGGAGACCGGCAAGAAAGAACGAATATGGGAAAGTGATAAGGAAAAGTATTTTGAAGACGTAGCCGCACTCATGTCAGACCAAGTAGACGCCGATTTATCTGTTGATACTCTCAAGCTTCTTATATCCAAGGAATCACAACTTGATCCACCTCAGTACTATTTGCGGACCTGGCCTGAACAGAAAGAAACGCAAGTCACTAATTTCCCCCACCCTTACCCCCAGTTACGAAATCTTAAGAAGGAGATCATTAGGTATGCGAGGAATGATGGTGTACAACTAATGGCAACTCTATATTTACCACCTGGTTATGACCCATCGAGGGATGGTCCTCTACCTATGCTTATGTGGGCTTATCCTCGCGAGTTCAAGAGTAAAGATAATGCTGGTCAGATGCGGGGATCTCCAAACACATTCGCTGGCATCGGGTCTACTTCTGCTTTACTATGGTTGGCCAGAGGGTAAGTGTCTATTCAATGCTGTGATATGTGATTGAGTGAAGGATCTTCGATGTTAAGTTTGAACAAATTTTCAGGCTTGAATTAAAAATCTCTAACTTGCCCATTATTGGTCAAACTGGACGGACAGTACTGTCGTATTATCTTGGACATGGTAGCATTAGTGAAACTGTTACTGATTTCATCATTGTTTTGTAAATGTAGCATGTCCGATCAGTATTGTAGTCTTTTTCTCTGAAAGTCTTTGGTTTATGAATCTCACAGGTTTGCTATTCTTGATGGACCTACTATGCCAATAATAGGAGAGGGTGAAGAGGAAGCCAATGACCGGTATTAAACCCTGTTCCAATACGTGTGTGCATGTTTTCACTTAGAAATGACAAATCGAACTTTTTAGTTTAACTTGGAAAGAAATTTTAGTTTTTTGGTGAGGAAAACTCCATATTTTTATAATCACGGTTATCATTGGCACGCCACATCCGAGTATTTTGAAATATTATATACCATACAGATTTGAATTGAGGGTTGGTCACTGCGTGTCCATTCCCTTAGACAGGGAATATTTTGCCCCGTGGTAAGTATGTTGCGCTGCATTTCTTTCCTTCCAGATACGTGGAGCAACTTGTAGCCAGTGCGCAGGCAGCAGTCGATGAAGTTGTCAGACGTGGGGTACGTATTGCTCTTCATGGTGTGCTTTCTGTCTTTGTTAGATGACCTGCAGCATTCACTGCTAGTGCCACCGATCAGATAGATGAAGTTGTATGGAGCTAATCAGCATCTTCAAAGTTATTGACAAAACTGGAAGTTGCCTTGGAGTTATTCTGGGAGGTTTCTCTAATCCTTGATTGTTCAAATTCTAGGTTGCTGATCCTAAAAAAATAGCTGTAGGCGGACACTCCTATGGGGCGTTCATGACAGCCAACTTGCTTATCCACGCACCGAATTTGTTCTGTTGTGGTATTAGTCGGTCGGGTGCCTATAATCGTACACTTACTCCGTTCGGTTTCCAGGTAATATTTGAAGTAAATTGATTTTTGAAAGGACATCTGTTTGAAATCTCCTGATTTATTCTATCAAGATTTTGTAGTGGTTTGGCCTGTTTTTGCCTGATTTGGCCTGGAGCGACTACATCCGCCTTGCATGGTCATGAGCCTCACTGTAGGCCTTCTCTGTCCTCTTCTTGCAAGTTGGTGATCTGTCGCCATTTGTGGATTTTCTGGTGTGCAGTCTGAGGAGAGAACTCTTTGGGAGGCGCAAAAGACCTACATTGAGATGAGTCCCTTCATGCTGGCCGATAAAGTGAAGAAACCTATTTTGCTAATTCATGGCGAAGAGGACAACAACGCTGGGACTCTTACCATGCAGGTAAAAATTCGTCGATTCTACTTCTTGTTCCTGATTTGAAAATTGTCACTTGCAGTAAGATGAAATAGATTTGATCTTCCACGCCGAGATCCTGGTACGGTATCCATCACAAACAAAGACGTTGAGGAGTAAACTCGCAACCGACTAGTCAGTTTCTTTACTGGGCACATGAACTCAGTTCTTGTCAATATCTCTCAGGAATTATCTCTACTGTGATCTATTTATACACATAAATATTTTTGCCCTTGCTGCAGTCGGAGCGCTTCTACGCCGCTCTGAAAGGAAACGGGGCGCTGTGCCGGTTGGTGCTTCTTCCTCTTGAAAGCCATGGTTACTCTGGGCGTGAGAGCGTGATGCACTGCCTGTGGGAAATGGACCGCTGGTTGCAGAAATATTGCGTCCAAGCCTCTAATAAGGCGTCCCTTGGTCAGAGCTTGAACGGAGACTTGATCAGCGCCGAAAAGAACTCATAATCTCTTGTACCTCTGTCCTAGCTTTAGCCATTGCCATTCTGATACATTGTCATTGGAAGTAGCACATATGATGGATGAATGAATTTGAAGATATACGGTACTATACTATTCTTTCCCGGTTGAATTCACAAATTTACTATGTACTTCATCTGCAGCATGTGGACAGTGGCATTGTCAACAACGCAATGTTGAACGGGTTGACAGGATTTGTTGTTAGAAAGTTTTAGACTTTCTGGTCAGACGTTTTCTTTTTTTCTTTTTTTTTCTCTTCGAGATTTTCAAGTATCCAAAATGGATTTCATGCTTCTCTGTTAAGCTCACAGTCTGAGTGCGAAAGTCAGCTAAGAATGTGTGGAAAATTGGGCAGCAAGTTTAATGGCTTGTTTGTATGGAATTGGTTCCCTTTTTTGAGGGTATCTGCGAAGTGGGGCTGTAGAAAGAACCAGAATCTGCTCCTACTAGAATTTGTGTACTATCCCTGCAATATCCTCTTATGGAATTATATCTACCTATTATGTGTCCCACATGCATTTTTCCTGTGTGATAAGTCATTTCTGCAACTGCATTCCATTGTGTTTAAACTGAGTGATTGCTGGTTTGAAGTCACGTGGAATTCTTTCACCGACTTTGAAAGCATTGAGTTTGAACACCTAGTAGTCTTCCAACTTGAGGATATTAAAATATCAAATTTGGACTCATACAAGGTAATATCACAACCCAACCAAGTAATTTTTACCAGGTGGGTGCACAACCTCACTTATTGTATAGAGACTAGGAATCATCTAAAAAGAAATAAGCTAGATTTGCTGGAGTGGTATTCCTGGCTAAGAGTACATAACAAGATGCAAGGGCAAAAAAAAAACTATACTTTGATCTACTTATGTTCAAATGGCAAACCAAGATAGAACTTATGTTAAATATCTATATATATTTTTTATAAAATATATATTTTAATTTAAATAAAAATATCATAATTTTTTTCATTTTATTAGTATTATAAAATAAATAACTATATGTAAGCATAAATTTTAAATAAAAATAAATAATATTTATTTATAAAATTAAATATATAAAATTTTATTATTGATTCATTCAAATTTAAATTAATTATATACATAAATACATATATATATATATATATATATATATATATAGATACATATTATGATGAATATCTATATTTAATAATATATTTATTCAAATAAGTAAGAATAAGTAGAATTAATTAAAAGTAAGCAAAAATAGATTATATTCTTAATATCTTATTGTTGGCCAAGTATTTCAAAAGCTTTGTAAAAGCATAATTGCCTTTATATGTGGTTGTGAATGATTGATAGATTAAAAACTTGGCCAACAAGTTGGTTACATGTCAGAAACTTATATTGTAAGTTAGACACAAATTAGAAACTTATACTCACAACTTATACTATATGTCTAACTTATATTCACAACTTGAATACTTATACTCACAACTTGAATACTTATACTCACAAGTTTGAAATTTATACCTATAAGTTGGACACTTGTCATTTGACCTATGAGAAGGTTTCTACATAGCTCTTTTGTTAGATAGAATATATGAAGGCATAAATAAGACCTTCTTTATTCTTGTCAATGATTTTCTTGTTTTTATTCTAGTTTAAAAAATGTCTAGAGTCCTTGACTTTTAAAATAGCCAATTTACTTTTTTCTTGAATATACATAATTTTATGCTTCTTTTTTTAAATTATTCATTGATATTTTTCTTGTTTTTTTATTCACATTTTAAGTTCTTATCCTTGACAAACTAACAATAATAACTTATAATATGAAAGTTTTATTTATCTTAATTAAGTTTGGATTATCTTTTATATTTTATTTTATAAGATATTAGCATATTTAAAGTTATGGATTATCTACTTCTAAATTGATAATAATTTGATAAAAATTTAGAAGCAACTAATTTATGTATAAAAAGTATGATGTGCTTTGTATTGCAATCAATAAGATTTGGATCTTACAACAAAGGAATTGTTTAATATTACTATATGCTTTATAATTATTACAATTGGAAACTAATATTAAGTAGAATGATACTAAAATTATGAGCTAATATCTCTACAAATTGCAATATGAAGAAAAAAAAATTGATATTGAACTTACTTGATCTTCAAATACAAATTCAAGCAATTGAATATGCTATTAAGTGTGATAATTGACTTTTTAAGCTATAATCTTAGAATTGTATAAGTACTCCATAACGTCTATAATTTTTTTTTATTACACCAACATCTTTTTAACACATATTTTAAAATGAAAGATATGTAAATTCATGTAATATGCTTTAAATATCTTATTGAATAAAAGTAAAAAATATTATGAAAAAAGTTGATTTTATTTTATAAAAAATCTAAATACCTTGTTTAATATTATTCTAAGTAGAAATTCAACTATAAAATAAAATGCATGGCTATCAATTCAGATAGTATGTCAAAATACTAATTTGTCAAAGTACAATAGAGATTGTGCCATTGGATTTATGTACAATATTTTGTAAAGTTTCTATTCTTTCTATATAATTTTATCTTCGTTTTATAATATATTTTGTTTTACAACTTAAAAATCATAAAGTTATTGTAATATTAGATCTAAGAGTCTTAGCTATTTTTTTTATGGATGAAATGTTTGTTAAGAGTCATAAAATATAGTTTATAAAAAAATTAAAATTGGTACATGTAGAAAACATGAATGGTTGATCTTTATATTTTAAAAATATTATTTATCAAGCTATTTCTATAGATATAACAAAAAATGGTCATAATAGCTAAATAATATTGACTTGATTATAATTAAAATATTTTCTACTTTTTCAATTTAGACTTCTTTTATAATTAAATATAGATAAGATTCATATAATTTATTATATATTAAAAAATAGATAAATAAAATATTATTTTAAAAACTAAGTATAGATATTTTGAATATAATATCAGACATATTAAACTTATAAATATTCAAATTACTTTTTAACATCTAATATATATATATATTAAAAATTTCTAAGAGATTTTATATTTTGCACTTTAAATAATATTTTGATTTTTTTCAAAAAAAAAAAAAAAAATAACATAATTTATTATATATTAAAAAATTATAGATTTGAAATTATATATTAATACAGAAAAATATGAATTTTTAAAAAATCAAGTTAAGTTTTTGAAATATATTATTTCAAATGATGGATCCAATAAAGTTCATAGTATCATCAATAAAAAAAACTTTTAGAATAATAAGAGATTTTTATTTTTATTTTTTTATGATTTGTCAATTATCAATTTTTATTTATTTTTTAAATTTACAACTCATTTTTTACATTTGACTTATAAAAAAACTTAAATAAGAAAGAAGTTAAAATAATAAATCAAGCTTTAAAAATAATAATTATTATAACATCAATCTTATATTAAGTTATCTTTGATAAACCATTGTTTATAGAAATAGATGTATTAGACTATATATATATATATATATATATATATATATAATACTATCAAAAATAGAAATAGATTACAAATCTCATTCTATAATTTTTTATTTAAAAATAATTTTAGCAACCAAGATCAATTTTGAGATCCATAACAAATAACTTCTTGTAATTGTGGATTCATTTCAAGAATAATGTCATTATTTAGAAAGTGCTTATAGTTTCATGGATATACATAATTACTTAAGTAAAAAATATTAGGTAAAATATAATGTAGATAGTATTGATAATATCTTATAGAAAAGCTTCTTAAAAGCTTCATAGATGTAGATTTTATTTTATATGTGTTTATAGTTGATTGACTTCTTTATTCTTGTCAATGTCTTTTTTATTTTTAGTCTTATTTCAAGAAGTAACTAATATTCTTGCCTTTAGCAATAACTATTATAATTTAATATTATACCATCTTTGAATGATTATCTATTCTTTTTTAGTAATACAAGAGTATATTGATCCTTTGGTTCTTCATAATTTATGTCTTTGATATCTAATCTAGTAACAGTTTATATTAAGCACAAGAATCTTAAATATTTTATGGTAACATATATTATGGCTTATAGCTAAATTAATTAGAGTAGATTTTTATCAAGATTTATATTTAATATTATTTATTTGGATAAGAAAAAATATTTATAAAATTTCTTATGTAGATGTTCTTATCTTGCATTAAAATAAAAAGAAAAAGAAATCTATAATTAACAAAAAATAATCCTTTTGAAACCAAAGCAATATCATCTTTGATATATGAAATCAATATTTTTAATTAATTCAATATTCTTAAATTAAGTTCAATTAAGTATGTTCTTAGATCCTCTTCTATATGACATTAAAAATAAATCTTATAAGGCTCATAATACTTCTAAGTTCAGATTTAAAAAATTCCTATTATTTTTAAACATCTTTTTATATTTTAAAATGTAAATCATAATGATGTACTCTTCAAGTTCAAGTTCATCATAAATTTCTTGGAATTAACTCCAAAGTTTTATTATGTCTAAAATATCTTATTGCAATAAATTTATAAAATAATAAAATATTTTATAAAATCATATAATATTTGCTCAATATCAAAGATCCATTATCATTGACCTTATAGACTTTTTCAACCATTATTTATATTAAAATAATAATAATATTTTTTTTCTATAAATTATATTTTAGATCTTTAAATTTTAAGCTCTTATGATTCTATATTTATAATAGTATATTTTTTAATATGTTTAAAAATTATAATAATTAAAATATAAAAAAAACTAATTTTTTTTAACAACATCTATTGCTATCATGAACTATCAAGAAATATAACATCAAAGAAAGAAATTTAATATATATCCAATTTTTATAAAATTCTTTTCAAGATATTAAAAGTTGATATAGAATTATTATTTGCTTTCTATATTAAAATTAATGAATAAACAAAGCTAGTGAATTATTTATTAGAATTTTATTTCTAATTTATCATTACATACTATTTAAATAAGTAGATAATTTTTTTACCATAAGCAAACTTTATTTATAATAATATAATATATTATTTTACTTAATAATCATTATTTTATGTTAATTATGATTATTATCTATAATTTGAACTTTTTGACTTTTTAAAAGTTAATAATTATATAGTAAATAATTTTATAAATTATTTGTTAAAATTATATATAAAAATAAAGATGTTATTAATAAAAGCTTAAGAATTATCAAGGACATGAATCTCAAAGAAAGAAAATCTCAATACACTCTTCTATCACTCAAAAATATTAGAAAATCATTCAAAGATAGTAATATATTGAGTTAAAATAGCTATTAACAAAGATAAGGAGATTAGAAAGTCTTGAAATGAGACTAAAGACTAGAAAAGCATTGGCAAAAGTGAAAAAAGCTTCATTCCTATTTCCATATATACTTTCTATTTAAAAGCTATGTCACAACATTTTATAGGACTTTTAATACGTATTGACTTTGTTAGATACATGACTTAACTTGCA